TGCAGACGGTAATTCAAATTAATATATCATCTACTTTTGTTTGGGAAAGAGAGACACTGTAGCGGTCCACTCTACCCATGGCCATGATTATGGGTTTTGGTCAAATATCATCTCTTTTTTATTATAATGTCAAGGTACTTTACAAAGTCGAGTGGAAGATTAGTTCGGCAAATGCAGCCATGGGTTCTATTGATCACTGCGTGTGGTCCAACCCAGCATTAACTGACATCAAGTCCAAACTTTGGAACAATCATCTTATTGATAAGGGAATATTTTACATCTCAGATTTCCTTTCTATAGACCAAAGTACACTCCTTAACTACGATATGTTCATTAACAAGTGGGAGCTGTCACCGAATACGATTTCCAAAATTGATTACTGTAACATTATCATGGGGATACGGAGATATAACTGCCCCACTATTAACTCAAGCTCAAGGAATATCGTATTTGGCTTTAGGTAGGGTGCCCCGCTAAAAGAACTGGATTCTTCCAGGAAGCATCCCGTGCACAGAGCTTAGTCTACATATATATTAAATTATTAACCATTCACTCTGTATGTGCACGAAAATTTATTTCAATCAATATCGAATTTGTTGACCCAAATATAAAAATTCAATTTTTACATTCTTTTACTGGGCAGGTGAAGGGAAGCAAAATTTGGGATAAAATGTATGATTCTATCTGCACAAACGAGCTGTCTCCATTACGTCAATGGGTTATCGACTTAAATAGTCATTCAATCGATTGGGTGGTCGTTCTTAGCAACCTTTTTTTTCTTAGTCTCTAAAAAATTTAAGCTGATTCAATTTCAATACAAACTTTTGATGAGGATCTCAACTTGTAGATACATGAGACATAAAATGAAAATTTTTGCGGATACTCCCATGTGTAGCCTTTGTAACACTTACTTAGAAACTATTCCTCATATTCATCTCCATTGTATTCACACAAATAGCTTCATTTTTTATCTAGACACTTTTTTTACTTCGGAGTATTCCAACAGCCATATTGTTACACAAGTGCAACCAGCCAATTACAGGAAGCCGTATCAAAAGGAAAGTCGTAAAGTTTGTAATCACACTTCACAAATCATAAACTATTTTAATAAAGATTTCAGGCAGGGGAAATGCTGATCTGGCAGGGGTATATCAAATTACTTTTAAGCTTTCACTAACAGGAGACAAAATAGGTCACAAAAGTTCTATTGTGTCGATCTTGGTCGATTAGGGCTAAATATCCACTCCATTTATATTGCTGTCTAATTATGTGGTATTTAATTAAGTGGTATTCCTACCACTTGTAAATATTTAGAATTGACGATATATATATAGATATCACCGCAGCCTTGAGGGCGGTACTAAATATTGCACGCGCGTGCGCGGAGATATTTCCGTATAGCACGGAGGCCCAACGGCCCAAGTGTAGTTGTAATGCCAATTAGATGATCATTTACTAAGTTTTATAAACCACATGCGTAGTTTTATAGCCGTTGCCAAAAACAAATTTTACATTTTGCAGTTGAGTATTACATTTTTGAATTCCTCAGTCTCAGGAATAAGGAGAATAAATGAAACATTTTAATTTCACAAGGTTAAGCAATTCATATCAAGGTCAGGTGAAATCACAAAACAATTCTATTGAAGTATTGATCATGAACCTTTCAGCAGTTTAAAAACAATCATTTCTACCAGCTAGTACGGGGATCAAGTCAAACATTTTAAACAGTTCGGCAGTTCAGTTTAACATACGGGTAAGGATAAAGGTAACCAGAATAACGATTAAGATGAGGGCAATGGTTAACATTCTCTCTCGATAGTCTCTAGGGCTGTCCAAAGTGAAAATCTGTGACACTCTAGCCACATTTTTGGTGAGACCAGGTCGCTTTACATTGGGCTGCGAGAGGTCAGAAGACAAAATATAGCCCGCTGGTGGATATATTATGATCTAATAGTAAATTTTACAAAGCTGGCTTTGGATTTAGGTAAGATTATAATTTATTTTAAAAAAACCACGGATAGTTTTAAGTTTAATTCTATTTGTCGTATAATCATAAACAAGTGAATCCTGTTTTCAAGAATGCGCGGCTTTGGCGGCCAGTTATTGACTTATACATTAAATTGAACTTTAAGGTCATTGTCAATTTTGCTTTGCCCATTTTGCTTACTTTTTGATTTAAATTTTTGAGCAGGTTGATAAAGAGCAATTTAATCCTTTCTGATATCATTTTCATCTGAAGATTCCGAATTTTCTGAATTCTTTGGAATGAAGTTTCTATCTCATGTGGAGCAAAAGTTATGACCTGGTTTTCAATGTGGAGCAAAAAAGTGTGGAGCACCCCAATAAAATCTATGCTTTTTGACTATTTTGATCGCCATTTAACAAATAGATCCTGGACGTTAATTGCAAAATATTTTCACTGCCAAATCATAAAATGGACCTCAGCCAGTGTGGAGCAGTCGAAATATCCTCATATTTTTCGTCTCAACCAGGGGTAAACATTACAGTAGAATCTCCGTCTTTTCACAAAATCTTAGTTTAAAGGAATACGCACCAGATAACATTATCAATAATGGTAAACCTTGCTCAACCGATGCGGAGCACGAAACTATTATACCTTAGTTGGGAATACTGATTGGGAAGAAACTGAGTTTTGAAAGTGAGTGTGATTAAAAACGATAAATACATCTAATCAGGCCATAAAAATATCATTTTTTCTTGTGATTATGTTCAGACCCCCTGACTCTATTCTTTGGAACTGCTGATAAACCTAGTAATGCTCAACCATGTGGAGCAGAGGACTTTTACTGCATAACATGACTCCTCATCGGCTGATATGACTTGGATGAGAAATTAGAATGAGTATTTTAGCTTTTACAATAAATTACTAGCAGAACAGATTGAAAAATTGTATTTAATAGGCTCAACCAGAGAGGAGCAGAATGGAATGATAGATTGATAACACAACTATTTGTAAGGATCAGTGTTGTTATATTAGGATAAAGGAGGAATGATATCATCAATACTTAAGAAGCTGTTGATGTATGTAGTACTGTGTCCTTTAAAGAGAAATATGCCACCATAGAAAAAGACAATATGCTCAACCGTGAGGAGCAACAGGCTTTTCTACGGTAAAAAGAGTCTCCATGATGGTCGATCTGTAGCCAATTTGTACGTAATGCAATTTAAAGTTGACTGATATACTTTAAATACTTTTCTTACCATGATTGGGCCATGATTGATGTTCCAGAACTGTTCAGCCAGAGTGGAGCAGAGCTAGAAATGACATGTCATGTACGGGATTCCTCAACTGCCTAACATTTGATGAAGATCTCTCTTGCATGCGGCTGTAGAATGAAGTAGTGAGCTTCGAAAATCTAATACAACAGAAATCATCTCTGCTCCACACAGGTTGAGCACTGAATAGTTCCCGTGAAGTAAGTTTATTGACCAATATTATAACATATTTTCTCTAGAATGAATAAAAATAATATCCCATGAAGCACTTAAAAGTTGTCTCGATTGATCAAAAGGAAGACCTCTTTTTGCTCCACATGGTTGAGATAGGCTGTTCTCAACTAAAGAGTCTGCATCAACGGTGAAAATATAGATACAGGAGTCAAGATGTAAATCACAGAAGTCACTTTATCTCAACCCAGAAAGAATTTAAAAGTTGGCAAATTTTTAACCATTTTGGGCTCCACAGGGTTGAGAGAAGTGTACTGAATATAAATATCCGTTTCAGTACTCAAAATAGAGTTAGTAAGAGTTACCAAGCTAAAAAAATCTTACAGATCTAAACAAAAGCATTATGAAAAGCTAATAAATTAAAAATTTACAAATTTCTACATTGCCAAAACCTCGCTCCACGTCGGTTGAGACATGGTGTGTTATCGCAAATAGTCAAAAACTCTTGAGAGGGGTTTCAGCTAAAAAGTTCATAGAGTTTCAACCAAAAACTTGACTGTTTAGCGTATGATTTTTGGTCTTGAAAATTGCCTAACTTTCAAGCTACTGCTCCACACAGGCTGAGCATTAAAAGTTGTCTCAACCGGGGCTTTCTGTGTAGATGGGACCTTTTTCTGAGAGTCTCAACCTGTTTTGACTGCCAGATTCAGTTACCAACAAGATTGCAAAAAGTTTTAAAATGTCACTTTGAAGCACTGATATGCTCCACATTGGCTGAGTAACACATATAGATTACATGTTAAAGTGTCCAGTGAACATTTGTTTCCATCTGGGTGAAATATTAACAAAGGGTGAACACCAGGTGGCATGCTAGCTCACTAAATAGCTCAACCGGTCAAATTGTACCAATTTTGGCAGTCAAATTTGGGCAAAGCAAACTTTACAATGACCTTAAATAGAAATGTGAATATATTAAAATTTAAAACTTTCAAAACGGAGGCTTATAAATATTTTTTTACAATCATAATATAATTTTTTTTTAAATTGAATTTTCAAATTTTAAAAAAAATTATATTATGATTGTAAAATAAAGGATAAAATTTTAAATTTGTTTCACTAAAATTTGTTTCACTTCTAACCATCTTATAATTTTTTAGTAAAAAAAGTTGATGGAAAAAATTTGAAGCACAAGTATAACTTTGCCGTTGTGGTACATACGAAAGCAAATAGCAACAGTGCCTCTTTGCCCCGTCAACTATCAGTCCATCAGTCTATCTGCAGTATGACTGGTATGCAAAAATTATCCTAAATTGCTTTCCTTTAGCTTTGTAAAGATTTCCAATAATAATGTATAAAATTAGCATCAAATTGATAACTTGGTTTTATTGATAACTGGATAGCAATAAAGCTGAAATTGTTGACTACGATAAATTTGATGTTGATGTGAATAAAAAAACAGTTTCATCCACATTTAGCTATTCCAATTTTGACAGTTCCGGCGGCATACCTCTAATTCTACTGGTGTCTGATTCTTTTTATTTCAATACCAATTATTATGTGCATGTGAAAATAATGTTTGAAATCTTTTTCTTAGAATGTGGAAATTATGAATTCCAGTGACGAATTCACAAGTCCCATTGCAACCTCGACTGTTTGGAAAAAGAAGAAACCTCCAGGCTGGAATCAAGAACCCAACACAACCTTCCAAGAACATCATGAACAATCTGTGGCAGGGTTTGTTTTCTTAAATGATAAATAATAAATTTAATAAACGGGGTTTTAAACACAATCCGGATTTTACACTAATCGACACTTATATTTTATTCTCAGTAGTGTGAAAAGAACTATTTAGGGGTCGTTCACATATATTATGTAATCAATATTTTAGCAATTTTTACCCCCCTCCCCCCTCCATAATCAACCGTAATCAAGACCCAACCCCCCCCCCCCCCTCCTGACAGCAATATTACGTAATCATGGCCTGACTTTTGACTTTTTTCCCTGGAAACACTTTTCTTTACGTTTGATGCTACCCTGATTAGGAACCGACCGGATTGGGGTTTTGGCTGCCGGACCGGATTCAGCCGGATTTGGATCTCAAATCCGGCAAGCCGGATTTTGCCGGACCGGAACCGGTGGTTTCAGAGTGAAATAAAAGGCAGCCGGATTTTGCCGGTTTTTGCCGGATGTTGCCGGAAAATTTCCTTCCTTTCCACGCCTAATCTTCATCGAGCACTTCTTGCAGCTTGCATAAGGGATCCCATTTTCTTCTGAGTAGATCAACCAGACGGACGATGTTTTAGATTTACTACTACTCGACTCGACTTAGGGCGGCTTCAACGTCCGAACAGATATAGTTTTTTTACAAATCTTCCTATCTACTACTAGACATTGCTTAAACAAGCAGTACGTAGCAGACACAATGTAACACGAGTAGACACGAGTCACGACACTAGACGAGTAATACTCAGAAATGATATCTAATTGGCATATGCTGCCAGACCCCTGATTGAGCGCGTTTGTGCGAATTCCCTTTTTTTCATGCAAGTCTGAGTATCATTGGGTCACGTGACTTACAACCAGAGGTGCTTAATAAGGTTGTTCGCAAGCAGGCACTGTCTAGTACACTACTAATCACCGTCTGGCGTCTAGAGCTGAGTCACATGATTGCGGTAATGAGCTGATTGATTGATTGATTGAGGAGCACTACCCAGAGGCATTACTCGGCACTAACGCCTTAAAATCTTTAATTACAATCAAATATAAATATATGCACACAATGCAATGTATAAAATATGAATAATGTATAAAATATGATTACGCTATTAGCAAATTTGAATAGTACTACTATTAAGAATTTCTAAATAACTCTTATCTCTTGACATAAATTTAGAACAGCGACACAGGGTCTGAAGAATGCGCGGTGATATTTTTGTTTTGTAAATGACAGTGAAATTGCGCGGTAGCGATAGCATTGTAGAAAATGCTCGAAGATAGTCATATTTCGTTATGAGGTTAAAGTTTTGTTGCTCGTTATTATCAACGTATGTTGTACCAAATTATTTAAATTTCTAAAAGTACGAAATTTGAGTTGTTCCAGTCCTTGTCATCCGGGTTAAGTGCTTGTGCAGTAAGCACATGCTTGCTGACTGTAGACTTGAATGAATTTAGGAATTTGTCTTGTAGGCAAGTCGTGACATATTTTATGTCCTTGTTAATAATGTTGACTGTTTTGTTATATAACTTAGGCCCAATGTAAGAAATGCTCTTGTCTGAATTACATAAACGGTTAAATGGTACTGCAAAGAACTCAGGTTCTCTTCTAGGTGCGTTTAAGTTTGAAACAGTGAACATTCTTATAATATTTGGTGGTGCAGTGTTAGAATAAACTTTGTGCATTAAGCATAATATACATTTAGCTATCACGTTCGGTAAAGCTAATACTTCTAGTTTATTGAAAATTTCCTTTGTGTGTGAAGGTGTACTGTTCAGATCTTTGTCATAAAAATAGCGGTGGTATTGGTTATCTGCAGCGCGAATGCCCTTTTTCTGGGCCGAGAAGACTCTTTTAACGGAGTTTAGCGATCTTGTTCCCCAAACTGTGCAGCAGTAGTACAAGTGAGACTGAACAAAGCTGTTGTATATCAACTTGAGTGCTTTGTTAGGTACAGAGCCTTTGAGTTTGTAGAGTATGCCCGCATTTCTAGATACTTTAGTGGCTAAATGTCTAATGTGGTGGGCCCAATTTAGCTTGGTATCAATGATCACGCCAAGAAACCTTTCGTGATCACTTTGCTTTAATCGTTCACCTCCCATGTAAATTTCTATATCCTCAGTTTTCTTATTTGTAAAGATCATATATTTAGTTTTGCTAGCATTTAATTTAAGCCCGTTATTAGTAGCCCAATCAATTATCAAAGTCAGAATCTCATTCACCATTGCATTAAGTTGTTCAAATGTATCTGTACTTATTATTAGGTTTGCGTCGTCAGCGAAATAAATATGTTTAGCTAAATTACTAATCTGAGGAAGGTCGTTGATGTAAATTATGAACAGAATTGGTCCGAGAATGGAGCCCTGTGGTACTCCGTAGTTAAGTTTGAGGTGAGAGGACTTGCAGTTGTTGACGCTCACGTATTGCTCTCTATCGGTAAGATATGAGTGAAACCAAGATAAAGCCAATCCCCGAACTCCATAGTGCTCAAGTTTTCTCAGAAGAATACTGCTGTCAACCATGTCGAAGGCCTTGCTGTAGTCCAATAGAAGCAGTGCTGTGACCTGCTTTTTTTCTAGTGCCCTGTGGATATGGTTTTGGGCTTCTAGTAAAGCATGTTCACAGCTATGTCCAGCTCGAAATCCGTATTGAGAGTCAAATAGGATTTTCTCTGTCTTTAAGTGATCTAATAGTCGCGCTTGCATAATTTTTTCAAAGATTTTTGAGAAACACGAAAGTAGTGAGATTGGTCGATAGTTTGAAACTTCAGCACGTGACCCACCTTTGTGAAGTGGAATTACTTTCGCGATTTTCAATTTATGTGGAAACTTCCCCTGATGTAGAGACGCAGAGACTAGGCAGCTAAGCACTGGCGCAAGTATATTGCTCACTTTTTTCAGGGGAAGTATACTCATATCAGAAGTCGACTTAATCTTCAGACCCTTAACTATTTCAATTATTTCTGATGCGGACGAGTCTTCGAGATTCATGCTCCGCTGGCATTTGCTATCTTGAGTTTCTGTTACGATAGTCCGGCCCTCGGAGCATACGAGACCATTTTCTCTCTTAAGAGTCTCAGCTATATTGCAGAAATAGTCATTGAAGCTATTCGCAATTTGCTGAGAATCTGTTATCTCGCTCCCATTATAGTTAATTTTGTTTATCTTGATTTTGCCTTTTTTCTTTCTGTTTAACAAGTTATTAACCATTTGCCATTGTTTTCTGCTGTCGCTAGAATATTTTGTAAAGTATGCGTTGTAATATTTGTTTTTGGCCTTATCCACGTGTTTATTCACAAATTTCTTCATTTTCTTGTACCTAATATCATTTTCAGTGGTCGGGTTTGTGACAAAATCTTCATAAAATTTATTTTTGCGATCACATGCGCACCGTAACCATTCTTGGATCCACGGCTTTGTGTTTTTACGGCGGCCTGGTTTACTCTTTTTTGCCTTCATTGGGAAATTTCGGTCGTATAGTTCACTATATTTTTTCTCGAAAGCCTCAAATTTTTCATCTGCAGAATCATAGTTATTAACCAAGTTCCAGTCTACGGCAGAAATGTCGTTCTCGAACTTTTTGATGCTGTCATCGTTTATTACTCGAGAAGATGTATCTTCTTGAAGTTTACAACTGAGCCTATTCTGATCAACCATAATTGTGACAAAAGTTGCCAAGTGGTCAGAGATTGATTCAGAAATTACTCCCGATTTTGTAACAGCGTGGCAATTATTGACGAAAATATGGTCAATGATAGTCGCACTGTGATCTGTGACTCTAGTTGGTCTTGATATCACAGGAGCGAATCCGTGCTCTGCTAAAGTGTCCACATACTTAGTAACAGAGTCTATTCTCCCGTAATCTAGTAGGTCTATGTTAGTATCACCGGCCAGTATGATATTTTTGTTTCGATGTCTTGCTAAGTTACGGAGGAAAATTTTCAATTGTTCAAGGAAACCATTCAAGTCCCCACTTGGAGAGCGATATATATTACAGATTAACGCGTTTTTGTGCCCTTTCAAGGTAAGTTCTGCAACCAAGAATTCTCCTATCTTAGGATTATCGTGGCAACATAGAGCGCTCTTAACGTTTATGTCAGATAATTCACATAGTTTTTTGTTAACATATATGACTAATCCTCCACCACGATTTGACGCTCTAGCGGGAGTCTGAACATACGGTGGATAGAAACCGTCTAGTTCGAGCTCCTCTCCCTGAAAAGGCAAACATTCCGTGTTACAATTTGTTTCATTGAAGCAGAGAACGTCGTATTTTGTGTATTGATCTATATTCTCCCGAAATTCTTCAATTTTCCCACTGAGTGACCTAACGTTTAGCGAGAAAACTTTCAATTCATACTCCTTCGTATTTTTGATCGCGTTCGCGGTATAATATTTGCAGTTATTTAGAAGACTAGACGTTGTTTCCCATGGATTCAAATCAGCATCAGTATCATCATGATCACCTATTTGATTTGATAGGTGGTCGCGATTAAAGGGGTTAAACCTAATAGTGTTACTGAAATTTATCATGTGAAGCTGTCTAATGGAGACATCGTATGCTGGGAAAATTTTTCTCAAGCATTCTTTGCAGCCTGTTGAGCCAGCAGAACATCTTGTGTGGGATAGGTTGTCACAGTAGCAACATTTGGTCATTTGTCTTATATTCCCAATTTTTGTGCAAGTGTGACATTTTTCTCGTTTATTGGAGACTTGGATTTGTATAGGCCGTGATGGTGATAGAGGCATGACGGCACCCACTGGAAGAATTTCTGAAATGCAGCTGTAGCAAGACCATTCTCCAGTAAGTTCAGTTATGTCGCTAGGTGTTAGGTGAGCACATTTTGGGTGATATGTCGTATAACAAATACTACAAGTGATGCTTACCTTGTGTGAGACTAGGCGCTTTGCACAGGCCTTACAGCTATTTTTACTACTTCGGATAACTACCATTTTTTAGCTGTAAATGATACTCTTGTTTAAATGTAGATATAGGTTTGCTACTTAATATAATATAATAAAGTACACGGAAAACAGTCACTGAAAGTATCTACTCCAGATGAGTGAGCCAAGAAAATGGGGCCAGGGAAGAGTGAGAAAACGTGCGAGGTTTTGTGAACACTCTGTCCGGGTCCCTAACTTCAGCTTCTAACTAGAGAAATCAATTCAGTGAAGTGTTGTTCTGTGGGAATAAGTTTAAAAAGTTAATTGAAGTATGTGAAATGTGAATGTGACTTGTATTCTGTATTTGTAACTTGTAAGTGTATGTACTTAGTGGTCTGATTACGTGGTTCAACTTAGTAAAGATAAGATTTCGATTAGCCGTAAGCTGGTGCAGATAAGACATGGTTCGTATACTGTACGATTCTTAGTAGATTAATAATTTTGTCCAAATTTTCGTTATAGTATGTTTGCCGATTGTATTGCTGTTCTAAGGTCTGCCCAATGAAGAAACATACTCCCGTCTTAGCGGCCAGTGTTTTCGAATTAAGTAGCTGCGCCCCATAAATTCTTTGACACAGGTAGCAAGAGAGCGAGCTATCTCTCTCTTGGACATGACTGTTAGGTGGATTCCGTTTCCACCAGGATCTACAATGACCTCTCTTCTCTGGTATAAAACAGTACAAATATGGTGCGAGTCAAAGAACCATAGCTTGGACACTCTATTGCTTAGTTCAAAAATAAAGCTGTTAAAATGCTTAACTTCCTCATTAAGCCACGAGAAACGTGTGAGAACTAAAGAATTAAATATAAAAGTCGTGTTAGGATATTTCTCAATTAGATAATCAATATTTCTCTTAAAATCACATGAAAGGGAGTGGTGGTGGTGGTCATAGCGAGATAAATCGTTTATACCAGAAGAAATTATGACAATTTTAGAGCCAGAAATATATTGTTCGTGATCTAAAATTTTGGATAACTGGTACATTTCGCGTTTGATGCAGTGTACGTTAGGAGGGTCAAAAGGGACATCTCTGAGAAGCGAGTCCGTCAAGAATAATAGACGCTCCTTAGGTTGAGACTGCTCAGTAACCGTAGGCTTATGAATCGGTTCGTGGATCCTCGGGATTTTTTTGCGATGGGGGGTATTCTGAGAGAGGCGTCTGAACGTAAGCGATATTCTGCAGTCCTGAGTTTCTGGTTGTGGCAATATACCATGCTCCCAGAAATTCTGTGATTCACGTGTCATCACATACACACATCCATGGTCAAGTTTGTGGATCTGTTGTTTGACCGGACCGACTTTGCTACGAAATACTAGGTCTCTAGAGGCCCCAAGACTGAGTGTAATGATGTCACCAGTGACCTCATTTTCATCATCACTGTGGAAGGGTATGTGGCACTTGCCGTTTTCATATTTGGTGATTAGACAAGTTACCTGCTCCTTATTAAACGTAGGGTCATCTAATGCATTCGAAATGTTTGTAAAAATGTGGTCAATAACGGAGTTCTGAGGATAGTTTCTGGAATGATGCACGGTCGACCCATAGCGGTAATCTGTTGCTCCAAAGTACTGTACGGATCGGGATGCGATTCTGCGGAAGTTCATGCTCTTGCAGATGTCCATCCAATTAATGTCATTAAAGTTCACACTTAGATTACATACCGGAGTAGGTAGAGCTGCGGAGGGTGGGCTAATCACTAACTGTTGTGGGGCTGGAGCAGAAGGGAGTGCGCTGTTTCCGATGCAGTCTGCGGTTGTTCTCCGAACTTCTGTCTTGTAGTCCTCTAGTGTTGTTTCTGCCTTCTCCAGCAAACCGGAAAAATGGTTCATTAATGAATCTATTTTGGCAACATCTACCGTAAACGAATTGATAAAGTTAGCATTTTTACAATCGTTCTCCAGTTTTTGTTTCAATAGAACTTTACGTTTTGAAACCTTAGTGTTGGATTTAATCCCTAAATCAATTCCCAGTGAATTGTTGTAGGAGATTTCGTGCGCCATGTGCTCATCCTTAACGTGCTCGAACAGATCGAGGCATAGTTTAGGTGACAGGGTAGGAAGCCACTGTCCAAATGTTATGTCTGTTTGAGTACTTATAACGCACATACCGGGTGTGGTAGGGGGTGCCAGGCAGTGTTCTGTAGAGGTAGTGGTATGGGCACCACTACCTGGCAGCCCGGAGTCCGAAGAGATGAAGTCCATATTAGGAGTTGGTTGGATGTTCATGTGTTGTAAATTTGAGTGTAAGGCAGTCTTATCAGCACCAGCCCACAATCTATCGGCGGCTTATCAAACTATACTAGCGAGTTAAAAGCATGCGTAATACATAAAACTATTTGATGAATTAAGTAGCTACCCAGACCCTGAACACGTGACCTTAACATTTCGTATTTCATAATCAGAAGATTAAATACTGCCAATTTTGCGATTATAGCCGGGGGCTAGCCCAGGGAGGTGGCCCAAAATATTTTCCGGTTTTTTCTAAGTCCGCACCTACCATGCCACTCGATACACTATTCTGTATTCTGGACTCAAGGTTTCCCCCGGTAATGCAATCTCGGAAGGCAGGCCTCCCCTTTGCAACACGAGCTCGGAAGCGGGAGCTCTCGATACAGGAGGTACGTCTCGAGAACGACTCGGACCGAAAACTTCTAAGTTAAAATTTTTCGAAGTTTTTCTGAAAACCACTTTTTTCCACGATTCAGGCTACCCTGTTCATTATTAGCCGAAAATATTTTTCCGGTTTTTCGAAGTCCCCACCTACCCCTCGATACACAATTCTGGACTCGAGGTTTCCCCTGGTAATGTGATCACGGAAGGCAGGCCTCCCCTTGGCAACACGAGCTCGGAAGCGGGAGCTCTCGATACAGGAGGTACGTCTCGAGAACGACTCGGACCGAAAACTTCTAAGTTAAAATTTTTCGAAGTTTTTCTGAAAACCACTTTTTTCCACGATTCAGGCTACCCTGTTCATTATTAGCCGAAAATATTTTTTCGGTTTTTCGAAGTCCCCACCTACCCCTCGATACACAATTCTGGACTCGATGTTTCCCCTGGTAATGTGATCACGGAAGGCAAGCCTCCCCTTTGCAACACGAGCTCGGAAGCGGGAGCTCTCGATACAGGAGGTACGTCTCGACAACGACTCGGACCGAAAACTTCTAAGTTAAAATTTTTCGAAGTTTTTCTGAAAACCACTTTTTTCCACAATTCAGGCTACCCTGTTCATTATTAGCCGAAAATATTTTTTTGATTTTTTTTTGGTAAAAAAAAACTGAAATCCGGCAAATTTTTTTCCAGCCGGAGCCGGAACCGGAACCGGATTTTGAAGCCGGATATCCGGCCGGAACCGGATTCAGCCGGATTTCCGGTCGGTTCCTAACCCTGATCATGAGCCGGAATTATTGTTATTATGTATAATATATATATCCGGCCAAGCACCTTTCAAACTACTTACTTTAGCAGCCGGATTAGATAGGGGGCCAACGGCATAAAATTGAGAATTTAAAATAAACAGAACCCAATTTTTTACAAAATTTACTAGTAAACGGACGAAATAATTTAAATAAAATATTCATCTAGAATCTAAATATCATTTCGAACACCTAAAAGATAATTGTTTGCCTTTTTATCGTATTTCGACCTTCAACAATTTTACAGATCGAACACAAGCTTGTATAAATTTTGTAAAATATTGTGTTTTTCAAATATAATAATATCATAATTTTGGTACTAAACGTTTTGCCTTTCCAAGCTAAAAACAATCCAGTAAAGATGTTTCCAAAGTTTATTAAGTTTTAAATTTCGTGCATATCACTACTATTTCCAGAACATTGGACGACAAGGAAAATGTTGACACAAACAGCAATGTGATAGTTTCTAGTGAAACAACTTTGAACTTGTGGAAGTACATTGTTCCTCCCCATCCTGGCGAGCTTGAAGAGGACAGCTTCATTGTCGATAACATGGTATGCATTCAAGGAATTTTAACATCATTTGGATTAGTTGTTCTTCTTACATGTATAATTATTAAGGGTAGTTGGTAGTCTTATGAATTGAAGGCTCAGTTTAACAACCAATGATACATTTTGCAGGCGTATAACCTAGATGGAAGCACACCAAATGATGTAGATCAAAGAGAATTCTCTGAAAAGATGGCTGAAGATCTGGCCAGCCTAAATATACTGGCTAAGGAATTGAATGTTGAGGCATCTATTACAGAAAATTCAGAATTCCCTCAAAGAATATGCGAACAATTTTCACCTATACCTGGATACATTGTTACAGAAAATAATGTCATAATGCGAAGACATTCGTCAACAAACTGCCAAAAAATGGTTGCAAATGCAGATAAGGAAGATGCAGATGGTATCAGGAAAATGTTAAGTGCACCTCCTTCAATGACTATCATGGATGAACCAAAACAAGCACATAACGACCTGGATGCAGAGGTGGCTGCATTGACCTCAAAAAATGCTGTCGATTTCTTTGATTACATAGAGGTCGAGGAAGATCTCGTTAATGAATCGTTTTCTAAATACTTTCTTCAAGAGGATATCATAACATCTCAAGATATACCCAATATTAACAAGGAAACAGAAGATAAGATTGATCAAATGGCCCTTCAAATGAGCAAGCCTATGGATCAATTGTTGGGATCCGATCGCGATAGTCCCATTGATAATGTTTTGTTGCAAGGTCATGGTTCAAAAAATGCATATGAATTAGAGTTCGATACTAAAAACAGTGCTCGTTACTCCCTTGGATCTCTGAACACTGTAACTTATATTGATCCAGAGAATTCTATGACTACTGAAGCTCTCCAAACTCCTGGGCATGTTGACGAAACCGAGTTTGATGTACCTAGTGACGAGGAGTCATATGATGAAGATGAGGAACTAGAAGACAATATGCCTTCTGAGCTTAAATTGAAAGAACAGATAAAATAGCATTAATGAAGATAACTCGAGTTCAGAGAAGTTTGATTATGTGTCAAGTGAAGAGGAGTTAGACACTGGCAATGTTAATTTGGAAACTGATTGTGTGTCAAGTGATGAAAACAATTTGAGCACAGTGAACTGTGATGACGGAAATATGGCTCCAGATACTGACCATGGTGAAGTTGAGAGACATCCATCATTCAATAATAGTCTTGAAATTATGCACCATCATTCGATTCTCGACAGGATACTTAAAGATGACTTTGCCCCTCGAAACAAATTGTCATCTCTCCCAGCTATACCCTAGAGCAACCTTGTGCTGTGGGTATAACAAAGAAATTTCCTGTTATGATAGAAAACAAAACTGATCTATGGGTCCAGTGCAGTATATCAGTTGATGAAGTCGGAAAGATGAATGGCTTTAGTTCCCAAAACCGTCTGATAATTCCCCCCCTTGCAAAGGAGAGTTTGCCCGTATGCCTGTCTGCTAAACAAGACGGTCTGTGTCTGGGGACCGTGGAGGTGACTGTAAATTCTGTGATAAGTGGCATGTTACATGAACAACACCATAGCTGCAAAATAACTGCCATTGCTGAGCTACCTGGCCTCAGCATGCTTCCCAAACAAATACAATTCAACATCCAAGTAGAAAACAAAGAGGCGTCGTACGAGCTTAAAAATGCTTCAGACTATGAACTGCCTTTGAAAGTTGTGCTTCATTCTGAAGGCCTGGATGAAGTCTTCTCGCTTTCCGATCCTATGTCAAAGTACCCTACTGCTGTCTTTGCACTTATCCTACCGCCTCACCAGCTATTTGTTGGGCACATCGAGTTCTGCCCTTACGAACAATACAGCGTTTGTGAAGGTAATTAGTGGGGTTAGTGGGGATAAGTAGGATTAGTGGGGTTAGTGGGATTAGTGGGGTTAGTGGGATTAGTGGGGTGAGTGGAATTAGTGGGATTAGTGGGGTTGGTGGAGTTGGTGGGGTTGGTGGGGTTAGTGGGGTTAGTGGGGTTAGTGGGATTAGTGGGGTTAGTGGGATTAGTGGGGATAAGTAGGATTAGTGGGGTTAGTGGAATTAGTGGGATTAGTGGGGGTTAGTGCGGTAAGTGGGGATAAGTAGGATTAGTGGGATTAGTGGGATTAGTAGGATTAGTGGGATTAGTGGGATTAGTGGGGTTAGTGGGATTAGTGGGAGTAGTGGGCTTAGTGGGCTTAGTGGGATTAGTGGGATTAGTGGGATTAGTGGGATTAGTGGGATTAGTGGGGTTAGTGGGGTTAGTGGGATTAGGATATTGAATTATGCAGCTAAACTGAATGAAAAAGGAAAGTTATATATATATATAATGTATCATAAAGGTGATATTATGTTACGTAAAAATTAAGGGTGAAATGTGCAATTGCTATCTCGCTGGGTATCAAGTGTTGTATTACACACAGCATATTACACAAAATGACTTACATCCCTATTTCATGAACTATACATATATATTATATCATATCATGACTCTCCTCACTTTACAGCCAGTTTGAGAGTGTACGTGGATAGTCCTAACGGCGCACTGCTAGCAGAGACTGATGTTTTGGGAACAGTTGGTCATTATAAAGTGAGGATACCCACAGACAAACACTCTCTTTCTTTCCATTCCAGCCCAGGGGACCCACTCACCACTGACATCACCTTAATTAACACAGGTATAAATATTACAATTTTAAGGTTTGAAACTTCAAATCTTTCTTCATCATGCCGAGTATGTAACTTGTATGATGAAGACTCATCTCTTATAAACTATACCCTTCATTAACTTAATCGCTCATGGACGACTTAATAGTTATGTAATCGAAGCTGTGCAGTATGAATTCAGTTTATAAGATGTGTATGTAACGATGTAACTCTGCAGGCAACATGGCCACCACAATTACTCTCGATGTGACGCGCCCCTTTTCTGTATCTCCTCCTTTTATTGGCTCCTTGGTTCCGGGAGAGGAGGCTACCTGCCAGGTGAGCACTAGTGGGGTTAGTGGGAGAGGAGGCTACCTGCCAGGTGAGCAGTAGTGGGGTTAGTGGGAGAGGAGGCTACCTGCCAGGTGAGCACTAGTGGGGTTAGTGGGAGATGAGGCTACCTGCCAGGTGAGTACTAGTGGGGTTAGTGGGAGAGGAGGCTACCTGCCAGGTGAGTACTAGTGGGGTTAGTGGGAGAGGAGGCTACCTGCCAGGTGAGCACTAGTGGGGTTAGTGGGAGATGAGGCTACCTGCCAGGTGAGCACTAGTGGGGTTAGTGGGAGAGGAGGCTACCTGCCAGGTGAGCACTAGTGGGGTTAGTGGGAGAGGAGGCTACCTGCCAGGTGAGCACTAGTGGGGTTAGTGGGAGAGGAGGCTACCTGCCAGGTGAGCACTAGTGGGGTTAGTGGGAGAGGAGGCTACCTGCCAGGTGAGCACTAGTGGGGTTAGTGGGAGAGGAGGCTACCTGCCAGGTGAGCAGTAGTGGGGTTAGTGGGAGAGGAGGCTACCTGCCAGGTGAGCACTAGTGGGGTTAGTGGGAGAGGAGGCTACCTGCCAGGTGAGCACTAGTGGGGTTAGTGGGAGAGGAGGCTACCTGCCAGGTGAGCACTAGTGGGGTTAGTGGGAGAGGAGGCTACCTGCCAGGTGAGCACTAGTGGGGTTAGTGGGAGAGGAGGCTACCTGCCAGGTGAGCACTAGTGGGGTTAGTGGGAGAGGAGGCTACCTGCCAGGTGAGCACTAGTGAGGTTAGTGGGAGAGGAGGCTACCTGCCAGGTGAGCACTAGTGGGGTTAGTGGGAGAGGAGGCTACCTGCCAGGTGAGCACTAGTGGGGTTAGTGGGAGAGGAGGCTACCTGCCAGGTGAGCACTAGTGGGGTTAGTGGAAGAGGAGGCTACCTGACAGGTGAGCACTAGTGGGGTTAGTGGGAGAGGAGGCTACCTGCCAGGTGAGCACTAGTGGGGTTAGTGGGAGAGGAGGCTACCTGCCAGGTGAGCACTAGTGGGGTTAGTGGGAGATGAGGCTACCTGCCAGGTGAGCTGTAGTGGGGTTAGTGGGAGAGGAGGCTACCTGCCAGGTGAGCACTAGTGGGGTTAGTGGGAGAGGAGGCTACCTGCCAGGTGAGCACTAGTGGGGTTAGTGGGAGAGGAGGCTACCTGCCAGGTGAGCACTAGTGGGGTTAGTGGGAGAGGAGGCTACCTGCCAGGTGAGCACTAGTGGGGTTAGTGGGAGAGGAGGCTACCTGCCAGGTGAGCACTAGTGGGGTTAGTGGGAGAGGAGGCTACCTGCCAGGTGAGCACTAGTGGGGTTAGTGGGAGAGGAGGCTACCTGCCAGGTGAGCACTAGTGGGGTTAGTGGGAGAGGAGGCTACCTGCCAGGTGAGCAGTAGTGGGGTTAGTGGGAGAGGAGGCTACCTGCCAGGTGAGCACTAGTGAGGTTAGTGGGAGAGTAGGCTACCTGCCAGGTGAGCACTAGTGAGGTTAGTGGGAGAGGAGGCTACCTGCCAGGTGAGCACTAGTGAGGTTAGTGGGAGAGGAGGCTACCTGCCAGGTGAGCTGTAGTGGGGTTAGTGGGAGAGGAGGCTACCTGCCAGGTGAGCTGTAGTGGGGTTAGTGGGAGAGGAGGCTACCTGCCAGGTGAGCTGTAGTGGGGTTAGTGGGAGAGGAGGCTACCCGCCAGGTGAGCTGTAGTGGGGTTAATGGGAGAGGAGGCTACCTGCCGGGTGAGCACTAGTGGGGTTAGTGGGAGAGGAGGCTACCTGCCAGGTGAGCAGTAGTGGGGTTAGTGGGAGAGGAGGCTACCTGCCAGGTGAGCACTAGTGGGGTTAGTGGGAGAGGAGGCTACCTGCCAGGTGAGCAGTAGTGGGGTTAGTGGGAGAGGAGGCTACCTGCCAGGTGAGCAGTAGTGGGGTTAGTGGGAGAGGAGGCTACGCCAGGTGAGCACTAGTGGGGTTAGTGGGAGAGGAGGCTACCTGCCAGGTGAGCATTCCGGGAGAGGAGGCTACCTGCCAGGTGAGCACTCTCCACAACACAATAAACTCTCGTCACTTATTCTCAGTTTGAGATGTTGGAATAACTACAACATGGGATAACATGGTCACATTTACTACTTTCTTTTTATATTTCTCCTTTTTCTTTTTTGAGAGAGGCTGGATGGCTCCCCACTGTAACACATCTAAATTGTCAGGTGTCCTATTTCCCAGTGGTAACGGAGCACGTGACTGGGCTGCTCACCCTCAGTCTGGAGGCAGATTCTGTTGTTTACCAGGTATCAAGCCTTAAAAAATAATATTTTATTTCTTAGTAATGGACAAATTTTCAACAAAGTGCTTAAATTTGTGTTTCACTGTGAGCACTAGTTAGTGGGAGGCTACCTGTCAGGTTCCTAAATCCACAGACTGTCTGCATAACTCGGCCAATTTCAGCCTCTTATGTTTTGTCGATAACTCGGATAATAAGCTTTTTTTGGAGATCAACTATAATAAATTTTATACAATTTTGGCCACTGAAAATGTTGTGCAAACCAATAAATAGCTGAAGGCACTTTGCGTCTTGGAAACTTATTAGGACTGTAACTATAAAATGAATATGTGATAAGTGCGCTATAGGAACCGACCTAATATTCGACTGAGTCCGCTTCCAGCCCGATATATTATGGACACGTTCATTGAAATTTGAGGATATTGGTAAATTTAAAAAATAGCGTTTTCAACGATAGTGGCTTAATTTTAGCATCTAATAATCTAGCAAGTTCAGAAGTTTTTATAGTGTGACAATGTTAGCATCTCACTGCTGGCCGAATTTAAGCGATATCTTATCATCTGATAAAGATATCATTATGTGACAAAGTTTACCTAGAGGATGAGACGATTATCCTAACCATGGAGGGTTTTTATAGTTTTATAGTGCGACAAATTTTACCTCATCGTGTCATTTAATAGGGCTACTAACAATGAACGTGTGCATATATAATTATACAGTACTTCTCGATTCCTGATTGTTGATTTAGCTATTTAGGAACGTTTATTCAAAATGTTTTGCACTACACAACTACAAGGTACCGATCGAAGGACGGAGCACAAAGAACAAATCAAACGTTGCAAATACCACGTGTCCCTATTCGCTGCTGACCAGTAAAAGTATTGTTAACTTTGGGGGATCTGAGATTGGTTAGTCAAATTAACAGTCTCTACTCTCTTTTACAGAATAGATTCCGCGATCAGTTCAACTTGTACAAATAATGAATTCTAGTTTTCATAACACGCTTCGACGATACAACATACCCCAAAAAGATGAATACAGTAACCCCGATTTACCACGGAGTTTGGGGAAAGGAAACATCAGCGGTAAATCGGATTTCGCGGTAAATCGGGGTTTTGTTTGTTTACATTATGCATGTTAAGCCCTATTTGGGGGAAATGAGATGGCTGCGGTATATCGAGGTTGCAGTAAATCGGGGCGCGGTAAACACTTATACTATGCACCTTATAAATCTAATTATATAACTACCAGCCTATCATACTAAATTCATAAGAGACCCACTATGTTGCACACTTACAGTCATGTTATGGAAACATAGAGGTAGCCTAGTTCATAATTATTAAATTAGAATTATTAAACTAATTAAAATTGACCAGGCAGACAGAAGGAAGACACTATAGTGCTACAGAACGATTCACCCACTGAGTTAATGTGTCTGGTGCTGAGAGTGATCAGTCCTAGCCGCTCATTCTACATCCTCAACGACAACTCCATAACGTTTACACATTTCTCGTTTATTTTTATAATAGTGGATTAGTTGGTATGTTTGTAATATATATTTAAACGTAACTTTTGAATATTTAACATCACGTACTATCTGATTTGCAGGTTAAGCTGTGATATGGTGTTACCAGCAGGGACCTCTCAGACGCTCAAGTTGGGTTACACACCACTACACAGCCAACAGCATGTGGGCGAGTTGCTCGTTAAAACCAAGAAGAATAACCTTTCCTTTAATATTTCTCTATCTGGGCACGGTGGTCTTAGTAAGGTACAGTCCCTAATTGTTATGATTTTACGTTATGATGCAACCTCAGGTGGTAATCCTAAACTAAATAAACATGATATAACTCTAACTCCTGCAGATAACTATGATGCAACCTCAGGTGGTAATCCTAAACTAACTAAACATGATATAACTGTAACTCCTGCAGATAACTATGATGTAACCTCAGGTGGTAATCCTAAACTAACTAAACATGATATAACTCTAACTCCTGCAGATAACTATGATGTAACCTCAGGTGTCAATCCTAAACTAACTAAACATGATATAACTCTAACTCCTGCAGATAACTATGATGTAACCTCAGGTGGTAATCCTAAACTAACTAAACATGATATAACTCTAACTCCTGCAGATAACTATGATGTAACCTCAGGTGGTAATCCTAAACTAACTAAACATGATATAACTCTAACTCCTGTAGATAACTATGATGTAACCTCAGGTGGTAATCCTAAACTAACTAAACATGATATAACTCTAACTCCTGCAGATAACTATGATGTAACCTCAGGTGGTAATCCTAAACTAACTAAACATGATATAACTCTAACTCCTGCAGATAACTATGATGTAACCTCAGGTGTCAATCCTAAACTAACTAAACATGATATAACTCTAACTCCTGCAGATAACTATGATTTAACCTCAGGTGGTAATCCTAAACGCACAACAGAGCTCCTCCCGTCTCTGGGTAGACATGGGAGACATCTGCCCAAACACTCGCAACACCGCGCGTATCACCCTTAACAACACCGGCTCCAGGGCAGCCTTCGTATCAGGAGTTCTAGAAGACGAGGAGGGGTACCCCTTACCCTCCACTCTGGCCTGGATCAACCCCACCACTTTTGTGATCCCAGATAACACTACACGTGAATTGTACGTGATCTACGAGGCAGGGGCTGATAAAGAGGCGGGAGTGAGCAGGATAGCTCTCCTCAAGTTGTACTGTGGTGACGAGATCTCCAGGAGGAGGTTCTGCAACGTTCTCAACATTCTTGACAGGTATTTTACTTTTACAAAATTAAGTTACCTAAGGTTTATCGGGAGGGGGGGTGGACTGATTTGTTAACAAGGGTCGAATGTGTCCATCATAAATCATAATAATGCTCTATGCTTCAGGCCGGTGGAAGATCAGGACCTCCCGTTTGACCCTGCTGTGGAGTACCTGACACCAGGTGAAATGAAGAGAGAGGGTGAGCTGAAAGTACCTCATCTCATGCAGGCCGATATGGCCTTGGAGAGAAAGCTCTTCGGAAGTGGACTATATCAACTCTTTATCAGGTTAGCTAATTTGGTTACGCCTGGGGGCAAAATGGAAGAATTTACCTGCTTACAAGTATATCCATCTGTTCCTACATCCCTCCTGTTCCTACATCCCTCCTGTTCCTACATCCCTCCTGTTCCTACATCCCTCCTGTTCCTACATCTTTCCTGTACCTACATCCCTCCCGTTCCTACATCCCTCCTGTTCCTACATATCTCCTGTTCCTACATCCCTCCTGTTCCTACATCCCTCCTGTTCCTACATTCCTCCTGTTGCTACATCCCGCCTATTCCTACATCACTCCTGTTCCTACATCCCTCCCGTTCCTACATCCCTCCTGTTTTTACATCCCTCATGTTCCTACATCCTCCTGTTCCTACATCTTTCCTGTACCTACATCCCTCCCGTTCCTACATCCCTCCTGTTCCTACATATCTCCTGTTCCTACATCCCGCCCTCCTGTTCCTACATCCCTCCTGTTCCTACATCCCTCCTGTTGCTACATCCCTCCTATTCCTACATCACTCCTGTTCCTACATCCCTCCCGTTCCTACATCCCTCCTGTTTTTACATCCCTCATGTTCCTACATCCCTCCTGTACCTACATCCTTCCCGTTCCTACATCCCTCCTGTTCCTACATCCCTTCCGTTCCTACATCCCTCCTGTTCCTACATCCCTCCTGTTCCTACATCCCCCTGTTCCTATATCCCTTCTGTTCCTACATCCCTCCTGTTCCTACATCGCTCCTGTTCCTACATCCCTCCTGCTCCTACATCCCTCCTGTTCCTACATCCCTCCTGTTCCTACATCTATCCTGTTCCTACATCCCTCCTGTTCCTACATCCCTCATGTTCCTTCATCCCTCCTGTTCCTACATCCCTCCTGTTCCTACATCCAGGGGTGTAGGAAGCGGGGGGCAGGGGGGGGGGGGGGCATCGCCCCCCCCCCCCCCATGAAATCTGGCCAAGGGGCCAAAAAGGGCCAACTTTTTAATTTAGGTTTCTACAAAGTCAAAAATTTTCAAAGTTTTCTTGGAAACTACTTTTGTTCATGTTTCATGCTTCCCTGATCATTATGAGCCAAAAATATTTTTTTCGGTTTTCGAAGTTCAATATACGATTTTGGACTCGAGGGTTCCCCTTTGTAATGCGATCTCGGAAGGCAGGCCTCCCCTTCGCAATCCGAGCTCGGAAGCGGGAGCTCTGCTTTCAGAGGTACGTATCGAGAATGACTCGGACCGAAATTTTTAAGTCAAAATTTTTCTGGAAATTACTTTTTTTCATGTTTCATGCTACCCTGATCATTCTGCGCCGAAAATATTTTTTTCGGTTTTCGAAGTCCGCACCTACCCTTCGATATACTATTTTGGACTCGAGGGTGCCCCTTTGTAATGCGATCTCGGAAGGCAATGCAGGCCTACCCTTCGCAATGCGAGCTCGGAAGCGGAAGCTCTGCTTTCAGAGGTACGTATCGAGAGACGAGAATGACTCTGACCGAAAATTTTCTAAGTCAAAATTTTTCAAAGTTTTCCTGGAAATTACTTTTGTTCATGTTTCATGCTACCCTGATCATTCTGAGCCGAAAATATTTTTTCGGTTTTTTGAAGTCCGTTCCTACAATCGGAAGGTTGTGGATGTGATACTGAATGGTTTCATGTACTATTACTAATTAGTTAGTTAGTAGTTAGATAGTAGGAGACGGAAGCTTTCTAAGCTTTCCGTAGTGCCCCCAACCTGCTATTACTAATTATAGAAAACGTGATATTTGGCCCACAGATTTGAAGGAAAATACGCGAATTTGGTCCTCAGATTTAAAGGAAAATGCGCAATTTGACGCGGAGAACTGAAAAATCGCGATTTGTTGTGAGGCCAGGATTTAAAAATCGCGATTTGTCGCGGCCCGGCAAAGGTGAAAAATTGCGATACCGCACATGCTGCAATTTCATTTTGTCCTTACCCTCGAAATTCAGGCTTTGGCGCTTCGCGCCAAAGCCTGAATTTCGAGGGTAAGGACAAAATGAAATATTTAGAATTTGGCCCCCTCCATGAAGAAAATCATTCCTACACCCCTGCCTACATCCCTCCTGTTCCTACATCCCTCCCACTCCCGTTCCTACATCCCTCCTGTTCCTACATCTCTTTGTTCCTACATTTCTCTGTTCCTTTAGCTGTGGACACCTTGTACGTTTTTAAAAAATGATAAAAGTTTGTTATTTATAACTTAGAATAATGATAATTTAAATTTGTTCAGAAAAAAAAGGTAAATTGAATTTTATACATCCTAACACGTGATGAACCTTATATATAATATATTATAGTGTGATGGGAAGAAAGGGCGGTCCACCAGCTCGCAGATCGCTGGTTACCTTGACCAGACAAGAAGTTTCGGCCAGATCAGGCAGCTCTGATAGTACTATCTCAGCTGGTAACCTATCACAGGGTGCTACACCCCGGATTAGCCTGACTAATCCTAAAGCCAAGGTTAGGGACCTTTATTAGTTAATACTCTTCTAGACAATTAGTTAATACTCCGCTAGAGTACTAGGAAGGTTAGGGATCTTACTACTTTACTAGAGAACGGAATAAGGTTAGAGACCTTAGGAGAGGGAGAGACCTTAGGAGAGGGATAGACCTTAGGAGAGGGAGAGGGAGAGGGAGAGGGAGAGGGAGAGGGAGAGGGAGAGGGAGAGGGAGAGGGAGAGGGAGAGGGAGAGGGAGAGGGAGAGGGAGAGGGAGAGGGAGAGGGAGAGGGAGAGGGAGAGGGAGAGGGAGAGGGAGAGGGAGAGGGAGAGGGAGAGGGAGAGGGAGAGGGAGAGGGAGAGGGAGAGGGAGAGGGAGAGGGAGAGGGAGAGGGAGAGGGAGAGGGAGAGGGAGAGGGAGAGGGAGAGGGAGAGGGAGAGGGAGAGGGAGAGGGAGAGGGAGAGGGAGAGGGAGAGGGAGAGGGAGAGGGAGAGGGAGAGGGAGAGGGAGAGGGAGAGGGAGAGGGAGAGGGAGAGGGAGAGGGAGAGGGAGAGGGAGAGGGAGAGGGAGAGGGAGAGGGAGAGGGAGAGGGAGAGGGAGAGGGAGAGGGAGAGGGAGAGGGAGAGGGAGAGGGAGAGGGAGAGGGAGAGGGAGAGGGAGAGGGAGAGGGAGAGGGAGAGGGAGAGGGAGAGGGAGAGGGAGAGGGAGAGAAAGAGGGAGTCAATTCGTTCCTCGGAGGAGGTTTCAGGTTGAAGTGCCCTGTTCTTTGAGTTGCTCAGTGCTCTCAAGACAGTGCAATTAGTTTATAATTTCACTGTTTTTCGAGCAGCTAACAACACAGTCCGTGCGATTATAAACTAATCGCACTGATTATAACACCAGAAGCGTGGAGTTATATAATACGAATATAAATGCATGTATAATATGATTTCACCAGTTATTGCACTCGGCTGCGCCTCGTGAAATAACTGCAATAATCGAACTCGTGCAATTAATAGTGTAATTGCATTATACGCAGTTAAATTAGCGTATATACTACTATAGTTATAGTACTATACTATAGATATTATATAATATACACTAGTGTATAGTCTATTTATCTATGATCACCGTCCACTGGTATTTTCAGTCCTCCAAAGAAGAAAACAAAGAAACATGTTGGAGTTTTAGCGTTGATGAATTGAATTTCAGTAAACCAACCGTCTTCCACGTGGTTAACGAGAGTACCAAGTAAGATAGATATTAGATATATTAACCACTCATTTTACACCCCCTCTTCATGTTTCTAGCAGTGGTCAACGCTGTATATTAAATACAGCTCTTTGATGTTAAGGATCATGTTTGGTCCAAGTTGGTTGTCAGTAATGCGAGTTACTAGTCTGTTTAAAAGATATTTTATATTGAGATAATGCACCATTACAGATCGCTATTGTATGATGTTTCTTATGAAGGGACCCTGTACGATGTGACACCGAAAGCAGGTTGCATTCCACCGTCTGGGTGCACAGAGATCAGCGTCCGACCACGTGTTTCTTCTTCACCCTTCTTATCAACACTTCTTGTCACTGCTGGAGGAATTGAGAAGACTCTAAAACTATCTTACACCCCTGCTCAGTCTGAAAATGTTCGATTGAAGTGTCCTTTAAGTACATCTGGTAATACTGACAAACCTCTGTCAGTCCCAGCTAAGGTCAGTTTCCAAACAATCCCTATTAATACAAGCTGCTCTGCCTTGTTCGAGTTTAACAACACGCAGACTGAAGTTTTACAGTGGCGGCTCTCCTCCATTGCTCCAGCTTACCGCAAGGTGGACAGTTCGGACCCCATCAGAGTTCCATATTCTGCTTTCTGTGTAGACATGGTGAGCGGAGTGACACCTGCAGGTTGTCGGGAGTGTATACCCATCACCTTCTATCCTAAACATACCGGACACTTCAGTCAGTGCTGGAATTTTGTTTGCTTTAAAGGCTCTATCAAGAGTCTAAAGCACAGCCAAAGAGTGATATTAGAGGGAAGTGCTACAGCATCTACAATACGCACAGTCGATAATCGTCCCAAAGATAAAGTCTTCATCAGAATAAAAATCCTCGAATTCTCCGCTGGCATCAATGGTTGTCAATCTCTCTCATTTAAAGTGGGTAACCCTCTGAAGGTAGCCAGTAAAGTGAGACTGTCCGTTCTTCTTCCTCCCTTTTATTTGAAGTATAAAGAAGTCCTTGTCGAGGCAGGACACTCTGCACGCATTCCTATCAAATACAAACCCACTATTTTTGGTGAGTTTAAAGAATTTCTGAAGATCGATACTGACCATGGAGTCCTCACACTTGAACTTCAGGGAACTGTTACAAACCGTAAAAGTAAATAAATTTGACACTGAGCTATCGACATCGGGATGGTTCTCTTTAAATATTATAATATCTTGTATTACTAAAATATTATGATGCTGAACTAATATTTGAACACTGAGGCTAATTGCGCTGTGCACTTACGTTCAAGTAATGTTTAATAATGGTAGTAGTAACAATAAAGCAATAATGGTGTGAAGTGCTCGATGAAAAGTTGGCCAAATTCTGACGCGAAAGCACACAGCGTTTTAGGTAGAAATTATAACAAAATAATTTTATTGAATATTTTGAAATTTGTACGAAGTTTACATAACTTAGTTGTGTTATTATATATTTGTTGTTATATACGTAATAAGTATCGCATGTGTGAATATCACTAAGCATAGCCAGTTCTATGTACATTTTATATTATGTTCTGGCAGGGAATGTTTTTAACGCACTTTTAATCTGCATTTTTATGTGACGGAATGATTTTATACTTTATAGTTATAGCAACCACAATATTTAATTATTATCCAGGGTGTCCCAACAAATAACAACCAAGTTTTTGTTAATCACCTCAGATTTAATCTAACGACTAATACACTACTAACAACAGTACACTACTAACAGCAGTACACTACTAACAGCAGTACACTACTAACAGCAGTACACTACTAACAGCAGTACACTACTAACAGCAGAACACTACTAACAGCAGTACATAAAAATGAGAGATATCAGTAAATTTGTAAAATAGCGTCACAAGGCTGTCACACCACAGAATAAACTTTAAGTCTGATTTTTTTTCGGACTCCGGAGGTTACACGCTATAGCCTCTGTAAATTATAAATGGCGTTCTTAAACCGTTAAAAAAATTTAATCTCTTGGTTGCTTATTTTGGACACACTGTATTTGTGTATTTATGAAGCATTTTTACCATATTATTTGAGATTTATATATTGTTTAACATAGTAGTATAGTATTTAATGGCTCCACTACCTACTTATATAATAATATGTTGTAATTAATAAGATGTGCTATAGTTTTAAATTACACTCGTGTCCAAATATATCGTGGTGTTTCCTTGCAAGGGGGGGGGGGGGGGGGGGGGGGGGGGGTCGTAGATTCCTCTACAGGGTCATCGAATAGTTCGACCGCCCTTGTTTTACAATACACTATATTGTAGATGTTCTGAAGGAGTAACCTAAGAATTAAGATTCATGATCTTTTGGCACAGGCACCCCTCCTCATTTAACCCTCAATCAAGTTTCCTATCATTCGGCTGAAGTGATCGCGAATTTGGTACTAAACGTTTTGCCTTTCCAAGCTAAAAACCATCATGTACCTAAAAATATTTCCGAAATTTATTAGTTTTCATGTTGCATATAGCATGTAGCATGTATGTTTCTTCCAGTGTTCATGTTACCCTGATCATTATGAGCCGAATTTTTTTTTCAATAACGACAACGTTGTAAATATTAATTTTGGATTCCCTAAACGATATTTTTTACCGCATCAAAAATATCAATCACAACCAAAGTTATGAATAGTCATACCGTGAGCGTAAATGTGAGCTAGTCATGACGTAACATAAAGCATGAAAACGCGCATTGACAATCGGTGCTTGCTCACTCACATGCAATTTTTTGAGGTTGCTACGCAACGTCGCAGTTTACCTTCGATAAAATAACAAGGTTTCAACTCCATTTGCGAGCTGAAATTGGTCAGAACAAAGGGTCGGTTTTTGGTCAATTTTCAGTGTTTTTTGTCCCCGTTGCCGGGGAGATTTCGTCAAGTTTAAAATTTAATATAGAAATATATTCAGCTTATAGAGTATTAGGAATATTTATTTAAATGAGTGAAATTATGCCTAATTTATTCCATTGTTTTACATAACAATTTTGCAGGGATGTTTCTATCAGGGATCACCCTCTTTACTATTCATCTCCTTTGCGGTGTCAGCTCCTCTCCCAGACCCAATATTGTGTTGATAATGGCAGATGATCTAGGTTGGGGGGACGTGGCCCCAAACAACCCTGACATTAACTACACACCCAACATAGCTAAGCTTGCATCACAAGGAGTACGCTACACAGACTACCACAGTGCTGCTTCAGTCTGCACTCCCTCTCGAGCAGGACTACTGACCGGCAGGTTGGGGCAGAGGACTGGGGTCATACATAACTTCGGTGTTTACGCGAAAGGGGGCTTGCCACTTAGTGAGCACACTATGGCAGATTATTTGAAAAGTGTGGGTTACAAAACTGGGATAATCGGAAAGTGGCACTTAGGTCACACTCACAAATACCACCCCCTGTCTCGAGGCTTTGATTACTATTTTGGGCTCCCTTACTCAAACGATATGGGGTGCCTCAACAAATCATCTCCCGTCTACAACATCAAAGTGGATCCATATTGTGGAGCCAACATAAGGAACCTTTCTCTGCCACTTTTTGAAAATAGGGATATTATTGAGCAACCTGTAGATTTGATAACTCTAACTGAACGATATGCTAAGAAAGCTCTGCAGTTCATTAGTACCTCTTTAGAAGAAAAGAAACCCTTTTTTCTTTACATTCCAATGACCCACGTGCATGTTCCTTTATACTTTGCTAAACAGGAAACTGGAAATCACTTTATCGACACCGTTATTGAAATGGACCAGTATGTAGGTAAGCTGATCAATTTTTTAAAGCAAAACCAACTCGAAAAGAACACAATCGTCATTTTTACTTCAGACAACGGACCTTGTGAATTCAAATGTGACCTTGCAGGAACTTCAAAACCTTATTTGGGAGAGTGGCAGAAAACGAAGGGAGAGGGTGGATCGTCCAGTAAGATGACCACATGGGAAGGAGGTCACAGGGTCCCATTCGTGGTATCTTGGCCCGGAGTCATACCTAAGGGGCAGGTCAGCGGGGATTTGGTGAGCGCCTATGATATTCTCCCTACGTTGGCTCAGATATCAAACTTTTCCCTGCCAAATGACCGAGTGTTCGATGGGATTCCTTTGCCATTTGTTGTTCCACATGAAGATACCCGCACTCTCTTCCACCCGGATGTAGACCTCCTGGAGCTCTGGTCAGTTAGATACGGCAAGTACAAGATTTACTACGCTACTTACCCTGATCACGACTGTGAGAATAACTTCGGGACAGGGTTCCTGTACCACAACCCAGCTCTGGTGTTTGACCTGGACAATGACAGCAGCGAGAGCTCTCCGCTCAGTCTACAAGAGGTCCCGGCAGGTCTTTATCACAAGATAGAGTCTTTAAAGAAGAGAATGAGAGACAGTATTTACACCAGTTTTAGGTCCACAGTGAACTGGAAAACCGATGAGGATGTGGCAGCTTGTTGTAACAAACATAACAAGTACTGCGCCTGTTCAGTGGTCCATTAGTGGAGACTGGAGGTACATTACGTTGTAATGTTACAAACAGTACTTCACTATCTTATGAAGGCTTTGTTTCTCGAAGTTACATTTACTGTGGCTGTTTTCTTTCTCACAAACTCCACGGTAAATCAGGGTTTTACTGTATATTGGGTATATTGTATAATATCGGTGATGCTTGCACCTGGAATTATAGATGATAGGTGATCTAAGCTATCTGAAATTGGGTTAAATCTTTTTATTATTGTAATTATGATTTTTTGCGATTTTCTTACAAGTCTTGATTTTATTAATATTTTCATATTTATTTATAAATAATTGACTTTTAAAAACAAAATTAAAGAGGCGTTTATTTCTTAATAAATGCAGAGAAACTAGCGGGCTGCGATGAATGGTGACGTGCCACCTGGCCACCATGGCAACATTAACTGTATTGGCTCTGTTACATCGCTTCCTGTTAAACGTAATATAAAGCTCTGGAACATAAAAAGGGTTCGAATTAAAGGTATTTATAAATTTCACAACTCTCGCCGTAATTCTTACAGAATTCAACAAAATCCGAAAATGGGGAAACTAATTACAACACTACAAATCTATTATATTTATTGAGGACGTTACAGAAGGAATTAATTTAATGTAGTTTGAGGGGTCCTAAGTCTCCTCACGTCCAAAAATGGCGTTTCTCTTGTCGCTAATATAAAATAATAATAAAAACATTTGAATACAACTACAATTACTAATAAAAAACAGCAAGCCCCAAAAAAGTGCAACGAAGCACAAAGTACAATTAATCACAAACAATGAAGTATGCGACTGGACAGAGATAAGAAGCCCAATATACACTACTTTACTACATATGTAGTGACTTCATGTATACATGAAGTCACAAACTGTGAAATTGTGCCAGCGTTTGAGAGTACATGCTGGTTGATTATTAAATAAATGTTTAAAATATTTATACAATCTGACCTTCTTTTCAAAATTCTAAAATCAGTCACAACAAGTGAAGAGGATTTGTATATATCCTATCACTAATTACCTGTCTGTAAATCACACCTCGGTCCTCGAAACATAACATAAATAATATTAAGGAGGAATCTTCATTTTAAGTTTGTCTCGATACGAACAAATAAATCAAATAAATTAGTACTGACACTACTTAAGGCATCATGTAGCCGGTGGGCCCGACATGATACAACATATCTCGACACGTCGGGGTTTGTCGGGGTCTGTCGGGATATGTCGGGGTTTGTCGGGGTTTGTCAGGGTTTGTCGGGGTGTGTCGGGGTTTGTCGGGGTTTGTCGAGCCTGGAGGCTACATAATGCCTTACTTAGTTGCCAGTTGTTTCTTGTAATTATGTAAGTCAGATTTAAAAAATAGTCCCAAAAATAGGAAACTTATTCTTTTAAACTGGTTCAATAAAACCTTTCTTGAATAACTTCTAAGCTTCTTATTCTAAACAATATTAACATCACCAGTAATTATATGCCTACACTCGGCCTCGGTATAATAAAATTACTATCAAAGTTATAAAAATAATAAACATTAGAGATAGGCTCATTACTTAAAAAGTGAATTTTAATTAATAATTTCAGAACAAATTGATGTTTGTTAATTTTTTAATTGATTATTGTTTTATGTATATTCTGAAAAGGTTTTTTATTTAGATGTTATCATGGAGCTTACTACTACATTTTACTCAGTTATTAAACTACCAAGTGTTTTGATGTGAAACTTAATTCATTGTGTTTAAAAATTTAATTTGATCAATTTCAAGATCTGGTATATTATTATTTATTATGAAATAAACATTTGTGTAAGTAGATAAATAAATTCTAGTATTTATAACACGCTTCGACTGAGAGAAAAACCCCAAAAAGATAATATATATTTTATCAAGATTATAATATTCAGTATTCATTCGATAATATATTTAGATGATCAATTTTGTTTGGCATCAAATAAATTCACCTTGTTTTTCAGGATGAGTCCAGCAATAGCTACTGAATGATGAACTAAGATAATGGAAACGATTCAAATTTAGCTGTTCAGTTCAGCTCACCATTTATTTTCTTGATGGAGGATTGATGGACCTGACGGACCGGGAGAAACAGTTTATGTTAGAGCGAGACCAACTGGCAGCAGAAAAGCAGAAGATTCTTGAAGACAAACACCGTTCGGAGGAAGAGTTTGGGAAGATCCGAGCAAAGTTCAAGGATCTGTATCTACAAAGGGAGGCCGAGATAGTCAAACTAAGTGACGAGAAGAACAGGATAGAATATGAGATATCAGACGTACGCACCGCTGCGATGGTCTCTCAATCGACGGCTCAGGAAGAGTTGGATGGACTAACAAGGAGGTACAACGAGGAAGTGAGAACGTATAAACAACAGTTGCTAGAAGCGAGGGACAGGTTGCAACAGAGTAGAGTAAGAAACGACAACGATATAAGCGAGGTGGAGAACCTGGAGAGTAGCATGCTTAAAGCACAGAAAGACACGGAAATGTTGAAAGAGATAATAGTGCCTCTGGAGACGGAACTGAAGGAGGTAAAGCTGCAATGTCAGCAACTTATGGCGGAGAACATGAAACTTCGTGAGCAGCAAACCAAGGACTGCAGACCCCAACCTACGGTCGACATGTTGCTTGATCTGGACGGAGATATAGGAGGAACAGAAGTTGGAGTTGAGGTGAACTCCAGGGAACAGGTGGAAGAACTGGAGAGGGAGCTGGAGGAGGAGACACAGAAGAATGCGAGTCTAAAGGAGCTGGTGCGGTTGCAGGAGCAGCAACTTGGTGATTACAGGAAACGAGACGAGGAACTGACAAAGCAGAACTCCGAGCTCCAGGAGGAGTCCGGAATGAAAACAACAGAACTAGATGAGTTCAAACGGAGTGTACAGACAACTGAAACTAAGTGGACGGATCTTACTGAGAGGTTCACTGAGAAGGTGGATCACGTGACTGAGTCTTTTACAATCCTCCGGGATTCTTACAAAACTGCAGAGTCAGATCTCAGCATTTTCAAGAGCAAGAATACCGTTGAAATGAACGATTTTGAAAACTACAAGAGAAAGCTGATCGACGACTTTGAGAAGCTGAAAAATAAGTTGAGCGATGAGAGGAAAACGCACGAAGATGCACAAGCTCTACTTACTGATTCCTTAGAGTCATGCAGGCAAGAAATTCTTAGGTTGGAGGGTATTTCAAGCGAACTGCAAACCAGTCAGGAGCTCTGTCAAAAACTGCAGAATGATGTCGTCAACGTTACTGACAAGTTAAATGAGTCTCAGAGAAAAAGTAAGGATGTAATCTTGGGCTTACAAAAACAAATCCTTGCAGCTACTTCAGAAAAAGAAGAAAGTGTTGCGAGAATTGCTCGACTCGGCAAGGAACTCAGCGAGAGCCTCTCAGTGCGGGATGAACTAGCGGTTCAATCCTCCGAGCTGCAAGTTCAGTTGGAATCTCACCGTGAACTGCTGAAGAACATCAAGTGGGAACACGAGGACGATGTGGCTAATTGTCGGGGGTGCGAGGTGGCTTTCTCAATGACAAAGCGGAAGAGCCACTGCCGGAAATGTGGTAGGATTTTCTGCACTGAGTGCTGCAGCAGCACGATAGAGTTTGGAGTCAACAAGCGACAGTATAAGGCGTGTGGGGAGTGTGTTAGTAGGCACAGGGCTGAGCAACCTACCGAGTATCATACTGTTACCGTACCTAAAAGTACTTAATCTTTCGTGCGATGAAATTACCTTAAGAACGAAATAATATTTAGTCTACCATAAATTTGGTCAAATTTTTGACTGAAGTTGTTTTAAGTCACATTTAATTAATGCGACTATTTGAACCTTTAACTAATTAAAAAGCGAACTAAAATTTTGGTAGAGTATAAATCATTACAGATTAAGAGTTAAGACGTAATATCGTTGATTTTGACTTTGAAACTGTTGTCGACCACATCTACTCATTCGTACTCAAAGTTACAAGTCGAAATGTTAAAATTGTGCTTAATTAGCTTACTTTTAAGTTAAATTACACGAAAAATCAAATAAATCGAAGAAAAATCACGAACAAATGGACTTAAAGTTTGCAACATTTCTAACTAAAATATGGGTAACCAATTTTTTTTGTATCAAATAATGGAGTAGTTCGCTGTTTACTAGTCTCATGATTGAAATCCTGATAGTTGGATAATATCCGGTTGGAAGAGACAAGGACAAATGAAACAGGAAGTTAGGAATGTAGGCAAATTTTCGGCGTCAACGCCATCTTCAGGCTTAAATTGGTAGTACAAATGTTAGTATACAGTTATTATCCAACTATCAGAATTTGTTTTGTAACAAATTTTATTTTAGCCCAAATCTTTGGGACTTACTAAAGTATCAATTTGTTAATTTCCGAGTTGGAATTTGTTAATTTGTTAATAACATAAAATATGGTAACCTACGTATAAAATACTTCACTATAAATCACATATTATAATATTAACGAGGTCTGATAGTCATCTTCTTACAGCGTTCGATGTCTGTGTGAAGGTAAAATGGTGACATCTTCTGGAAAATGCAGGAAAATTTTGTCTCCTTCACTCGCTAATGTTAATTTTAATCCGATTAAACAGCAGACACTAAAGTTTTTCGCCAGTATTATTTTGTGATTTTATTAGACTGACACGTCTTCAATGGTAGTAGTAGTACAGCTATAGTCCCTATAGTAATACTATATTATAGCATACTATAATAAGTTATATACTTTATGTTAACACGTATTCTTCTCTCTTCTTCTCTCCCGGGTTTGAGTACAATATTTGATTCATTCTTTATTTGCTGTATTACTTTTGTTTGATATAAATTTCAGAGTTGTTTCGTCATGCGTCTTAGCTGTGTCACCCAATGTTCAGATTAATTCGTACGATTTTTAGATTTACATTTACTTGTAATTTCTGCAATAAGGGGTCGTTCACATATTACGTAATCAATATTTTAGAAACTTTTACCCTCCTCCCCACCTCCGTAATCAACCGTAATCAAAACCCAACCCCCCCCCCCCCCCCCCCCCCCCTTGACTTTTTTGTTCATGTTACCCTGATCATGCTATCATGATGAGCCGAAATCAATGTTATGATATCCGGCCAAGCACCTTCTAAACTACTTACTATCTTACTATATATAAAGCGAGACGATATATATATATTTATCTATGCCATTTTACTGACACCACGGCATCAACTTTCACGCGAATTTCTGCAAAAAAAGTCAAAGATATACAACTGAAACTTTTTTGACTGGGTCAAATGCTTTAATGGCCTCCAAATCAGCATGAAAAAATAAAAAATTGGCCAAGAAATAGGAGTTTTAGAGCCCAAAATTTGGTACCCCAAGTGGTGTCAAAAACGCGAATTAAATAGGTAATAATTGTTTTAGTCTCTTGAGTCTTGACACCATTTTAGGGTTAGACGGGTTCCTGCTAGTTATAATAGTGTATAGCCGGACATTCGATCAATTTCTAAATTTTATCACTATCAGAGTGAAATTGAGTGGAATTTGAATTAAAATATTGTCATTTAATTGTTATTATTCTAGAGGGTAAAAAAGAAAATTTTGATTACGTAATCAATGACCAAACCCCCCTCCCTGTAATCAACCGTAAGCATTTGGAAACCCCCCCCCCCCCCCCTCGGCTGATTATGTTATATGTGTACACGACCCCTAAGTGGAGATTAAACAGATATACAGTCAATGTTTATCAAAGGTAAAGATGTACGAGCCAGCTACATACCGCTCTCACGTCTTTACCATTGCATGTTCCTGGCAATTAGTTCTTGTGAATTTTGATCAACATTACTCGACATTTTGGCGAACTTCCCTTGTTAAAAATTATCAGCTTTATCGGTTTAATGATTTATCTAGATAAACCCTAAATCGTTATCTGTTTTAAATTTGGATAAAAGATTTCATACCGATAATGGATATCCAGGTTTTGAGTTATTTTCAGATAACTATACTCAAAATTGAATGATTGATATTTCAATCAAAAGAATGTTTTTTTAAGTAACATTGACAAATTTTTGTTTTTCTAAATTTGCGCTACAATACTATTTGTACATCACCTATGTCCTATATGAACATTATACTTGTTCGCATATTGATTTAGTTTGTAAGAATGTTCTTTTGTATTAATTTCCCTGATTCGTAGCTTGTGAGAGAGATAAAGACAATATTGTTTGCAAATAGATCAGATCACAGTATAGCTACTAGTGTGTAATGTCAGGTAGAAACAGCAACATGGCAAGTCACACTGATGTGGGTTCACAGATGTCCTCGCCGGTAAGCTACTAGTGAACCTAGTGAACCTAATGAAGCTAGTGAACCTAGTGATACTAGTGAACCTAATGAACCTAGTGATCCTAGTGAACCTAATGATCCTAGTGAAGCTAGTGATCCTAGTGAACCTAGTGATCCTAGTGAACCTAGTGATCCTAGTGAACCTAGTGATCCTAGTGAACCTTGTGATCCTAGTGAAGCTAGTGAACCTAGTTATCCTAGTGAACCTAGCGATCCTAGTGATCCTAGTGATCCTAGTGATCCTAGTAAACCTAGTGGGGGGGGTCAAAAGTCAGTGCACATACGTTGGCCTTTGTAAGCTCAGTCACTGAGTGCCGGATTGAGGTATAGTAATTCTTTCTGGTATGACTTACTATCACCACTCATTCGAGGAATATGTCAAATCAACAAAATTTGTTGTTATTTAATATTCATGTTTTAATTGTTTTCAAATAAAGGTTCATTATCGCATTTATTTGATAGTTCTGATAATTTTTTAATTGGATTGTGTTTGGAATTCGAATTAAATTTACCCTAAAAAATGAAAGTTTGTCAGATGACTGAGATATGAAGCATAATTAGAATTTTAATTAGAATTAGAATCAAATTTACACAGCCAGCAATATAATAAAAATACCATACGGTAACAAGGTTATTCATTACGTGTGATCAGGTGATTGGGTTGGCACTATGGGAATCCTGCAGAGAGCCCAATTACGGTGTCGTAGCACGCAATCACATGATTTCCCAATCAATTTTGCTAACGAGATAAACAAATTGCTTGATAACTTCGTCATTTTGAATCCATTTGGCGCCATATCTTCAGATCAAACCTAGATTTAATTACCTATTGGCTATTGCAATATTTTACAATGAATTTTCTAGCATGTTCACAAACACGAGTATATGCAATTCAATGTTTGATTGGGCGTGGCCTCTAAAAACCGAATTTTCAAATTTTGGCGACAGAATCCTCGAATGAGTACTGATTAGGCCCTGTATTATAATAGTGCACCTACTGAACATTAATCTCTTGTTTTTCAGATGGCGTTTATCTTTGTGTTCAACCTGCTTCTTGGAGCAGGTGCTCTAGCGCTTCCTGCAGCATTTGCTGACGCGGGCTGGCTTGTAAGCACTGTTCTTCTCGTTATTCTGTGCTTTGCGAGGTTTGTCTACTGTGAACTTATGAAGGGATGGCTATCTCTTTAATCTTCTCAGTTTCGTTTCAGCCTCGTTCATGTGTGAATGGATGGCTATCTCTTTAATCTTTTCAGTTTCGTGTCAGCCTCGTTCATGTGTGAAGGGATGGCTATCGCTAACGTGCTCCAGAACGTGGCCTGTCCTAAGAAAAACGACAATGTGACAGAAACAGAACAGTTATTGGCTGGAAGCGCTAATGTGAGTATACTTTCTCTTATTCGTACATAATATATACAGGGGGGGGGGGGGGGCAAAAGTTAGTGCACATAAATTGGGTCTTATACCACCGCCGTGTTTTATATTTGAGACTTGATGCTTTGCAGATGACATGCTGTTATGCTGTACCTACTCATTCGAGGATTTTGTCGCCAAAATTTGATAATTCGGTTTTTAGGGGCCACACACAATCAACATTGAATTGCTTATACTCGTGTTTGCGAACATGCTAGAAAATTCATTGTAACATATTGCAATAGGTAATAAAATCCGGGATTTGATTACCTATAATTGATCTGAAAAGATGGCGCCAAATGGATTAAAAATGACGAAGTTATCAAGCAATTTGTTAATCTCCGTTAATCTCGTTAATCTCATTAGCAAAATTGATTGGGTAATCATTTGATAGGTTGCTCCGACACCGTACATGGGCTCTCGGCACGATTCTCATAGTAGTATAGTGCCAGTGCCCAGTTCCCAATCACCTGATCACACGTAATGAATAACCTCGTTATGCTTCATATCTCGGTCATCTGAGAAGCTAGAACTCTAGAATTTTTTTCAGGGAAAAAGTTATTTGAATGGCCAAACACAATTCTATACAATTTGGCTCGATCCGATTGTTAAAACTATCAAATAAATGCGAAAATGAACCTTCATTCAAAAAAATGAACATGAATATTCTTTGAGTTGACATATTCCTCGAATGAGTGGTGATAGAAAGTCATACCAGAAAGAGTTATTTCAATCGGGCACTCAGTGACTGAGCTATAAATGCCAACGTATGTACACTGACTTTTGCCCCCCCCCCCCCCCCCCCCCTTCTATTATAGTAGCTTCAATGTCAAGATACTTAGATAATTTCAACTAATTTTTAAAAGGTTTAAATTGTTGTGAAATAAAAAAATATGCCACTTACCTTATCGGACCTTATTTGGACGGACATTAATTGAACAAATATTGATATGTTTATAATGAGGAATTTAAATCAATACAGTAAAACCCTACGCCACGATTTAACACAAACCACGATTTACCGCGGCCATATCATTCCCCCAAATAAGTATTTACACTCACAGACATAATTTCGGCACTTTTCGACGCTTTTTAAACGCATTTTTACACCTTTTTGGCGCTTTTGACATCTCTTTGACTTGGACTACTATACTATATATAGTAACTGTAGTAAATGTAGTAACTGTAGTAACTGTAGTAACTGTAGTAACTGTAGTAACTGTAGTAACTATAGTAATTATAGTAGCTGTAGTAACTATAGTAACTATAGTAACTATAGTAACTATAGTAACTATAGTAACTGTAGTAACTGTAGAAACTATGGTAACTGTAGTAACTATAATAGTAACTGTAGTAACTATGGTAACTATATAGTAAATATAACCTATGCTCTGGATCAGGGTCTACAATTGCTTAAGTACGAGTTTTCGGACTACGAGTCTGATTCGGTAAGATCCTGCTGAGCTCAATCCTGCTCCATCGCTGTGTTTTAGAGTTACACTGTTATATTTACATAGGGATTGGAAAGTTGATTCCTATGTAAAGGTAAAATCTTTATAGCATTATAGCAGCAATATATTGTACAAATAACTATATAATATATCTATACTAAATAACAAATGAAACAAAGTTGCCTCTGAACTTTGTTTCATTTGTTATTTACTTTGCTCCTTGACATCAAGTTGAGTACTGCAGAAGTGCCGATAAATAAAATACGCCCATATCTTACTATATATAAAGCGAGACGATATATATATATATTTCATGGCTGGACTTCTACACAATAAAAGAAAGCGGTTGTGATTAGATCTTCGAAAGTCTTTGCATCGTTTATTTACATCAATTCTCAAATTATTTGTTATATAGTAGTGTTGAAAGTATTAAAACTCATATATATATCTGTGCCATTTTACTGACACCACGGCATCGACTTTAATGCAACTTTCTGCAAAAACCGTAAAAGATATACAACTGAAACTTTTTTGGCTGCTTCAAATGCTTTAATATCCTCCAAATCAGCATGAAAAAATAAAAAATTGGCCAAGGAATAATGATTTTAGAGCCGAAAATTTGGACCCCCAAGTGGTGTCAAAAACGCCAATTAAATAGGTAATAATTATTTCAGTATCTTGAGTCTTGACACCGTTTAGGGTTATATTTCACGGGTTCCTGCTAGTTATATATAATCTACGTATATAGTACTATAGTATTTTAAAGTTGACGAAATCTCCCCGGCAATGACATAAAAACAGAAAATTTACCAAAAGAGCAAAAGGTGAACCTGCGTTGAAAACAATTTTAGCTGAGTTAGCTGAGTTGTAAAACATCATTATATATAATGCTGCTATTATAGTATTTTTAGAATTTTGATTTATATTTCTTTCAAACAAAGTGAGGGAAAATAGAAAATATGTTTTGGATGATATAAAGCTAAGTTTTGCTGGGGGGGGGGGGGGGGGGGGGTGGTCAGATCAACAGACCAGTCCAACCTAAGTTACGTGTTACAGGCTGTTTAAAACTGTATTACGACATCAATTGAATTGAATCTTTCCGAAAATAATCATCTTCAAAAAAGGTATCGCCCGATTGACACAAAAAGTACTACTACCACTATACCAGATTGCTTAAAGCAGGACTTTATAAACGGGTAAAATCTACGGTTACAAAATGTAACCGTAGCTTAATTAAGATAAGTCGTTTATATTTAAAATAAATTCTAATATGAGTATTATTGCCAGGATACAGAATACTACAGTAACCTGAGTTTACAAATTTCTCAGTCCCAAGCTTCCCTAGGTTTGTTCACTGTCACAATTTTCAGATTTTATCTTCGTATTAACTTGACATTCTTTTATCTTAAAAAGGGAAAATAGCAGTACTCTAGTAGCAGAGTGTAACTAACTAGAGTACGGGGCAACTTATTACCTCATTCCTCAATAACTTGATACCATTGCATTGCCAATAAAAGTGAATACACTTAATGCTGAGATACATTTGGCGCTATTTTTAGAACTTTGCTTAAAAGTACTGATTAGATTATACCGACAGGATATTTATCTTAATTATAATTTTAGTGTTTATTAATGAGAAATTAGGGTTTTATCAAACGTAACTTGGTGATACTAATTACTGCATTACACAGGGGGCTCCAGGTACAGCTTCAGGATCAGTAAAAGAATAGAAATGGTAAGAAGTTTTTGAAAAGGATAATTTAATATTATAAGTGTTAAAAATATCTAGTAATCACGTAAGTACTAAAAAGAAAACTGTCCCTTTTAGCGAATTGTAGATCGCCAATGTTTCGATCTAACTGACTTAATAACTACACCCTCCCTGCTACTGGAGCAAAAGCTCTGATTTAAATTTTATGTTCTGAGTTTTCGATTAAAATATTTTTAGAATGAACATGATTGTACTCACATTGAAACGTTGACACTTATCTAGTGAGAGGTACAGTGTGTAGTCACCACTCTCACTAGATAAGCAGTTTCCTTTTTCCTATCTACGTAATTTCAAATTTTGAAAAAAATGCGACTAATAAATAATGTTCCTGTCACTGATTATATAAAGTGAAGTTCCCTAAACCTGCCTCAAATGTACTGATTATATAAAACACCTGTTTTTTTTGTATCATCACTGATTATTTACTGTTTTGTGAATCTTTGCAGATTGTTGAAGCTTCAACGCTGAAAAGTCACGGAACACGGTTACCTCTCATTTATTCGTTAATGCATATTTTTACCCGTAGATTTTTTCAGGCGGAGATGGCGGAGATATTTTTCAACAAAGGTAGGTGTTTTATAGATGATAATATATAATGTATATTTATGATATAGTTTTAATTACATTTCTCATCGGAAGATAAAATAATGACAATAAAATCTAATAACATTTGTAAATCGTAAATATCATTTACCTCTCCTCACTGGCATGTGAATTGTGAATTTTGTTAGCATGTTTGTGCGTAAACTGTCGTTATCGTGCATAACAAGTTTCGCGCCTCTAATCTCCTCGTCCTTCAAATTGTGAAACGGTTTGCATTTGGCTGTAACAATCACTTTATCACCCCTTTATCATCGAAATGGAAAACGCGTAAATATTTTTGAAGGGTTTGTACACGCACGTACGAATAAACTACGCGCACGGTAGATTATCCAAACTTCATCATAAAGTATCGATCGAGTGTTTTATGTCTCCCCATATCTATTATCTACCCATGTCTCCCAAAGCATGTAGATAGGAATCACTTATCAGGATTATAATTTAATAATAGGCCCAGTCCACTATCGTGAACCGTCATAATTGTGTACAATTAGATAAAAATATCATCCAAGTTGGTTTGAAATCAGAGTCAATGTAATGACCACGGTTGACGGTTAACCTTACGACCTTACTTCAGAATAAATCGCGAAGTTTTCACCAAAATGATAGTAATATTGATTTCTCTTGGAGAATTTCTCTTTAGACTCTTAACTTGCGAACAAATTGAAGCAGCAAACTTTAGGCTAGAAACTTTATTGAATTGAAATAATCATTCCACGTAACAACGTCTTCTTCAGTTCTCAAATTATTTGTTATATAGTAGTGTTGAAAGTATTAAAACTGGTATAATATTGTTAAGGTAAAAGGTCAAACGTATTTGTGAAGCATCAAACAAGTACTATTTGACACTACTTGAAAATCTAATTTCAGTTGGTGTGGTGTTGTTTTATGTGGCAGTTATAATATACCTCTACGGGGATCTCGCTATTTACACAGTCGCAGTGCCTAAATCCCTTGCTAATGTCAGCTGGTGAGTACAGTTGCAGTGCCTAAATCCCTTGCTAATGTCAGCTGGTGAGTACAGTTGCAGTGCCTAAATATATTGCTAATGTCAGCTGGTGAGTACAGTTGCAGTGCCTAAATATCTTACTAATGTCAGCTGGTGAGTACAGTTGCAGTGCCTAAATCCCTTGCTAATGTCAGCTGGTGAGTACAGTTGCAGTGCCTAAATCCCTTGCTAATGTCAGCTGGTGAGTACAGTTGCAGTGCCTAAATCCCTTGCTAATGTCAGCTGGTGAGTACAGTTGCAGTGCCTAAATATCTTACTAATGTCAGCTGGTGAGTACCGTTGCAGTGCTTAAATATCTTGCTAATGTCAGCTGGTGAGTACAGTTGCAGTGCCTAAATCCCTTGCTAATGTCAGCTGGTGAGTACAGTTGCAGTGCTTAAATATCTTCCTAATGTCAGCTGGTGAGTACAGTTGCAGTGCCTAAATCCCTTGCTAATGTCAGCTGGTGAGTACAGTTGCAGTGCCTAAATATATTGCTAATGTCAGCTGGTGAGTACAGTTGCAGTGCCTAAATCCCTTGCTAATGTCAGCTGGTGAGTACAGTTGCAGTGCCTAAATATCTTGCTAATGTCAGCTGGTGAGTACAGTTGCAGTGCCTAAATATCTTGCTTATGTCAGCTGGTGAGTACAGTTGCAGTGCCTAAATCCCTTGCTAATGTCAGCTGGTGAGTACAGTTGCAGTGCTTAAATCCCTTGCTAATGTCAGCTGGTGAGTACAGTTGCAGTGCTTAAATATCTTCCTAATGTCAGCTGGTGAGTACAGTTGCAGTGCCTAAATCCCTTGCTAATGTCAGCTGGTGAGTACAGTTGCAGTGCCTAAATATCTTGCTAATGTCAGCTGGTGAGTACAGTTGCAGTGCCTAAATCCCTTGCTAATGTCAGCTGGTGAGTACAGTTGCAGTGCCTAAATCCCTTGCTAATGTCAGCTGGTGAGTACAGTTGCAGTGCCTAAATATATTGCTAATGTCAGCTGGTGAGTACAGTTGCAGTGCTTAAATATCTTCCTAATGTCAGCTGGTGAGTACAGTTGCAGTGCCTAAATATCTTGCTAATGTCAGCTGGTGAGTACAGTTGCAGTGCCTAAATATCTTGCTAATGTCAGCTGGTGAGTACAGTTGCAGTGCTTAAATATCTTCCTAATGTCAGCTGGTGAGTACAGTTGCAGTGCCTAAATCCCTTGCTAATGTCAGCTGGTGAGTACAGTTGCAGTGCCTAAATCCCTTGCTAATGTCAGCTGGTGAGTACAGTTGCAGTGCCTAAATATCTTGCTAATGTCAGCTGGTGAGTACAGTTGCAGTGCTTAAATATCTTCCTAATGTCAGCTGGTGAGTACAGTTGCAGTGCCTAAATCCCTTGCTATGTCAGCTGGTGAGTACAGTTGCAGTGCCTAAATCCCTTGCTAATGTCAGCTGGTGAGTACAGTTGCAGTGCCTAAATCCCTTGCTAATGTCAGCTGGTGAGTACAGTTGCAGTGCCTAAATATCTTACTAATGTCAGCTGGTGAGTACAGTTGCAGTGCCTAAATCCCTTGCTAATGTCAGCTGGTGAGTACAGTTGCAGTGCTTAAATATCTTCCTAATGTCAGCTGGTGAGTACAGTTGCAGTGCCTAAATCCCTTGCTAATGTCAGCTGGTGAGTACAGTTGCAGTGCCTAAATCCCTTGCTAATGTCAGCTGGTGAGTACAGTTGCAGTGCCTAAATCCCTTGCTAATGTCAGCTGGTGAGTACAGTTGCAGTGCCTAAATATCTTACTAATGTCAGCTGGTGAGTACAGTTGCAGTGCCTAAATCCCTTGCTAATGTCAGCTGGTGAGTACAGTTGCAGTGCCTAAATCCCTTGCTAATGTCAGCTGGTGAGTACAGTTGCAGTGCCTAAATCCCTTGCTAATGTCAGCTGGTGAGTACAGTTGCAGTGCCTAAATCCCTTGCTAATGTCAGCTGGTGAGTACAGTTGCAGTGCCTAAATCCCTTGCTAATGTCAGCTGGTGAGTACAGTTGCAGTGCCTAAATCCCTTGCTAATGTCAGCTGGTGAGTACAGTTGCAGTGCCTAAATCCCTTGCTAATGTCAGCTGGTGAGTACAGTTGCAGTGCCTAAATCCCTTGCTAATGTCAGCTGGTGAGTACCGTTGCAGTGCCTAAATCCCTTGCTAATGTCAGCTGGTGAGTACAGTTGCAGTGCCTAAATCCCTTGCTAATGTCAGCTGGTGAGTACAGTTGCAGTGCCTAAATCCCTTGCTAATGTCAGCTGGTGAGTACAGTTGCAGTGCCTAAATATATTGCTAATGTCAGCTGGTGAGTACAGTTGCAGTGCCTAAATATCTTACTAATGTCAGCTGGTGAGTACAGTTGCAGTGCCTAAATATCTTCCTAATGTCAGCTGGTGAGTACAGTTGCAGTGCCTAAATCCCTTGCTAATGTCAGCTGGTGAGTACAGTTGCAGTGCCTAAATCCCTTGCTAATGTCAGCTGGTGAGTACAGTTGCAGTGCCTAAATCCCTTGCTAATGTCAGCTGGTGAGTACAGTTGCAGTGCCTAAATCCCTTGCTAATGTCAGCTGGTGAGTACAGTTGCAGTGCCTAAATATCTTGCTAATGTCAGCTGGTGAGTACAGTTGCAGTGCCTAAATATCTTCCTAATGTCAGCTGGTGATTACAGTTGCAGTGCCTAAATATCTTGCTTATGTCAGCTGGTGAGTACAGTTGCAGTGCCTAAATATATTGCTAATGTCAGCTGGTGAGTACAGTTGCAGTGCCTAAATATCTTCCTAATGTCAGCTGGTGAGTACAGTTGCAGTGCCTAAATATAGCGCTAATGTCAGCTGGTGAGTACAGTTGCAGTGCCTAAATCCCTTGCTAATGTCAGCTGGTGAGTACAGTTGCAGTGCCTAAATATATTGCTAATGTCAGCTGGTGAGTACAGTTGCAGTGCCTAAATATCTTCCTAATGTCAGCTGGTGAGTACAGTTGCAGTGCCTAAATATAGCGCTAATGTCAGCTGGTGAGTACAGTTGCAGTGCCTAAATATCTTGCTAATGTCAGCTGGTGAGTACAGTTGCAGTGCCTAAATCCCTTGCTAATGTCAGCTGGTGAGTACCGTTGCAGTGCCTAAATCCCTTGCTAATGTCAGCTGGTGAGTACAGTTGCAGTGCCTCAATCCCTTGCTAATGTCAGCTGGTGAGTACAGTTGCAGTGCCTAAATCCCTTGCTAATGTCAGCTGGTGAGTACAGTTGCAGTGCCTAAATCCCTTGCTAATGTCAGCTGGTGAGTACAGTTGCAGTGCCTAAATATATTGCTAATGTCAGCTGGTGAGTACAGTTGCAGTGCCTAAATATCTTCCTAATGTCAGCTGGTGAGTACAGTTGCAGTGCCTAAATCCCTTGCTAATGTCAGCTGGTGAGTACAGTTGCAGTGCCTAAATCCCTTGCTAATGTCAGCTGGTGAGTACAGTTGCAGTGCCTCAATCCCTTGCTAATGTCAGCTGGTGAGTACAGTTGCAGTGCCTAAATCCCTTGCTAATGTCAGCTGGTGAGTACCGTTGCAGTGCCTAAATCCCTTGCTAATGTCAGCTGGTGAGTACCGTTGCAGTGCCTAAATCCCTTGCTAATGTCAGCTGGTGAGTACAGTTGCAGTGCCTCAATCCCTTGCTAATGTCAGCTGGTGAGTACAGTTGCAGTGCCTAAATCCCTTGCTAATGTCAGCTGGTGAGTACAGTTGCAGTGCCTAAATCCCTTGCTAATGTCAGCTGGTGAGTACAGTTGCAGTGCCTCAATCCCTTGCTAATGTCAGCTGGTGAGTACCGTTGCAGTGCCTAAATCCCTTGCTAATGTCAGCTGGTGAGTACAGTTGCAGTGCCTCAATCCCTTGCTAATGTCAGCTGGTGAGTACAGTTGCAGTGCCTAAATCCCTTGCTAATGTCAGCTGGTGAGTACAGTTGCAGTGCCTCAATCCCTTGCTAATGTCAGCTGGTGAGTACCGTTGCAGTGCCTAAATCCCTTGCTAATGTCAGCTGGTGAGTACAGTTGCAGTGCCTAAATATATTGCTAATGTCAGCTGGTGAGTACAGTTGCAGTGCCTAAATATCTTACTAATGTCAGCTGGTGAGTACAGTTGCAGTGCCTAAATCCCTTGCTAATGTCAGCTGGTGAGTACAGTTGCAGTGCCTCAATCCCTTGCTAATGTCAGCTGGTGAGTACAGTTGCAGTGCCTAAATCCCTTGCTAATGTCAGCTGGTGAGTACAGTTGCAGTGCCTAAATCCCTTGCTAATGTCAGCTGGTGAGTACAGTTGCAGTGCCTCAATCCCTTGCTAATGTCAGCTGGTGAGTACAGTTGCAGTGCCTAAATCCCTTGCTAATGTCAGCTGGTGAGTACAGTTGCAGTGCCTCAATCCCTTGCTAATGTCAGCTGGTGAGTACAGTTGCAGTGCCTAAATCCCTTGCTAATGTCAGCTGGTGAGTACAGTTGCAGTGCCTAAATCCCTTGCTAATGTCAGCTGGTGAGTACCGTTGCAGTGCCTAAATCCCTTGCTAATGTCAGCTGGTGAGTACAGTTGCAGTGCCTAAATATCTTCCTAATGTCAGCTGGTGAGTACAGTTGCAGTGCCTAAATCCCTTGCTAATGTCAGCTGGTGAGTACAGTTGCAGTGCCTAAATCCCTTCCTAATGTCAGCTGGTGAGTACAGTTGCAGTGCCTAAATCCCTTGCTAATGTCAGCTGGTGAGTACAGTTGCAGTGCCTAAATCCCTTGCTAATGTCAGCTGGTGAGTACAGTTGCAGTGCCTAAATCCCTTGCTAATGTCAGCTGGTGAGTACAGTTGCAGTGCCTAAATCCCTTGCTAATGTCAGCTGGTGAGTACAGTTGCAGTGCCTAAATATCTTCCTAATGTCAGCTGGTGAGTACAGTTGCAGTGCCTAAATCCCTTGCTAATGTCAGCTGGTGAGTACAGTTGCAGTGCCTAAATATATTGCTAATGTCAGCTGGTGAGTACAGTTGCAGTGCCTAAATATCTTCCTAATGTCAGCTGGTGAGTACAGTTGCAGTGCCTAAATATATTGCTAATGTCAGCTGGTGAGTACAGTTGCAGTGCCTAAATCCCTTGCTAATGTCAGCTGGTGAGTACAGTTGCAGTGCCTAAATATCTTGCTAATTTCAGCTGGTGAGTACAGTTGCAGTGCCTAAATATCTTCCTAATGTCAGCTGGTGAGTACAGTTGCAGTGCCTAAATATATTGCTAATGTCAGCTGGTGAGTACAGTTGCAGTGCCTAAATATATTGCTAATGTCAGCTGGTGAGTACAGTTGCAGTGCCTAAATATCTTCCTAATGTCAGCTGGTGAGTACAGTTGCAGTGCCTAAATATCTTGCTAATGTCAGCTGGTGAGTACAGTTGCAGTGCCTAAATATCTTGCTAATGTCAGCTGGTGAGTACAGTTGCAGTGCCTAAATATATTGCTAATGTCAGCTGGTGAGTACAGTTGCAGTGCCTAAATATCTTCCTAATGTCAGCTAGTGAGTACAGTTGCAGTGCCTAAATCCCTTGCTAATGTCAGCTGATGAATACAGTTGCAGTGCCTAAATATATTGCTAATGTCAGCTGGTGAGTACAGTTGCAGTGCCTAAATATCTTCCTAATGTCAGCTGGTGAGTACAGTTGCAGTGCCTAAATCCCTTGCTAATGTCAGCTGGTGAGTACAGTTGCAGTGCCTAAATCCCTTGCTAATGTCAGCTGGTGAGTACAGTTGCAGTGCCTAAATATCTTCCTAATGTCAGCTGGTGAGTACAGTTGCAGTGCCTAAATCCTTTGCTAATGTCAGCTGGTGAGTACAGTTGCAGTGCCTAAATATATTGCTAATGTCAGCTGGTGAGTACAGTTGCAGTGCCTAAATATCTTACTAATGTCAGCTGGTGAGTACAGTTGCAGTGCCTAAATCCCTTGCTAATGTCAGCTGGTGAGTACAGTTGCAGTGCCTAAATCCCTTGCTAATGTCAGCTGGTGAGTACAGTTGCAGTGCCTAAATCCCTTGCTAATGTCAGCTGGTGAGTACCGTTGCAGTGCCTAAATCCCTTGCTAATGTCAGCTGGTGAGTACAGTTGCAGTGCCTAAATATCTTCCTAATGTCAGCTGGTGAGTACAGTTGCAGTGCCTAAATCCCTTGCTAATGTCAGCTGGTGAGTACCGTTGCAGTGCCTAAATATATTGCTAATGTCAGCTGGTGAGTACAGTTGCAGTGCCTAAATATCTTACTAATGTCAGCTGGTGAGTACAGTTGCAGTGCCTAAATATCTTCCTAATGTCAGCTGGTGAGTACAGTTGCAGTGCCTAAATATATTGCTAATGTCAGCTGGTGAGTACAGTTGCAGTGCCTAAATATATTGCTAATGTCAGCTGGTGAGTACAGTTGCAGTGCCTAAATATATTGCTAATGTCAGCTGGTGAGTACAGTTGCAGTGCCTAAATATCTTCCTAATGTCAGCTGGTGAGTACAGTTGCAGTGCCTAAATATATTGCTAATGTCAGCTGGTGAGTACAGTTGCAGTGCCTAAATATATTGCTAATGTCAGCTGGTGAGTACAGTTGCAGTGCCTAAATATCTTGCTAATGTCAGCTGGTGAGTACAGTTGCAGTGCCTAAATCCCTTGCTAATGTCAGCTGGTGAGTACAGTTGCAGTGCCTAAATCCCTTGCTAATGTCAGCTGGTGAGTACCGTTGCAGTGCCTAAATCCCTTGCTAATGTCAGCTGGTGAGTACAGTTGCAGTGCCTAAATATCTTGCTTATGTCAGCTGGTGAGTACAGTTGCAGTGCTTAAATATCTTCCTAATGTCAGCTGGTGAGTACAGTTGCAGTGCCTAAATATAGCGCTAATGTCAGCTGGTGAGTGCGGCTTCGTTTAAACCAAAGAAAGTCTAGATCGAACATTTTAGTAGTAAAATGTAGTGTGAATATTACCAATTTGTCTCTATTTATCTAAACCGTGTTGTTTGCAGTATACCAGATCTCCGTGATGAACACAATGTTACGCTATGTTGGAACGGAGTCTCCCACGACGCAGCCTACAGAATATTTGTTGTAAGTTAGTGCTCCCTACTAAACATTGCAACGTTGTAAGTTAGTGCTCCCTACTTAACACTGCAACGTTGTAAGTTAGTGCTGCCTACTAAACACTGCAACGTTGTAAGTTAGTGCTCCCTACTAAACACTGCAACGTTGTAAGTTAGTGCTCCCTACTAAACACTGCAACGTTGTAAGTTAGTGCTCCCTACTAAACATTGCAACGTTTTAAGTTAGTGCTCCCTACTTAACACTGCAACGTTGTAAGTTAGTGCTCCCTACTAAACATTGCAACGTTGTAAGTTAGTGCTCCCTACTTAACACTGCAACGTTGTAAGTTAGTGCTCCCTACTAAACATTGCAACGTTGTAAGTTAGTGCTCCCTACTAAACTCTGCAACGTTGTAAGTTAGTGCTCCCTACTAAACACAGCAACGTTGTAAGTTAGTGCTCCCTACTAAACACTGCAACGTTGTAAGTTAGTGCTCCCTACTAAATGGAAAAATTAAGGCACTAATGCCAAAAAGGCTACTGTTTTGTTTACCAATATCCTCAAATTCAAATAGACATGTTCATATTATAGTAGTGGTAAAAGTATAACAAATAGTTGTACAAATATGCTATTCCGATTTAATATGCCTTCAGTACTTTTTTATTTACGTTGATTTTAATTTCAGCTTATCTATGTCTTGTGTATAGGCCCCTTTGTGTTTTTCAACGCTCAAAAAACGACACTTCTGCAGATTTTTAGCTCTATCCTCAGACACACATGTAAGTAAATAGCCTACAAATACTAATACTATCAAAGCCCAGATAGCAATTAATTATTTGCTTTAAAGCTTTAACACATCTATTAATTTTGATTAATTTGACTTATTTTGAACGCAAATAACCGCAGCATTCTTCATTATGGTAGTTATCGCCATTGACCGCATCATGAAACACAAACACGGTGTCCCAAAACCACAAGATGTAAAACCAGTCATCTTCGACAAAATACCAGATTTCATAGGTTTGTCATTTCTCATGTTGGATATTTTAAGAAATTGAAAGTCTTTTCAAATATAACGCACACAATGCGATTTAGACAATTAAACGACCTCTAAATATCTTTTATGTACAGGGGGGGGGGGGGGGGGGCCAAAAGTCAGTGTGCAAACGTTGGGTCTTTTACATCCGCCGTGTTTTATATTTAAGATTTTTTGCTTTGCAGATGGAATTATGTACTTACTTGTTCGAGGATTCCGTGGCAAAAATTTTAAAATTCGGATATTTTAGACCACGCCCATTCAATATTAAAACGTCTTTATTGTTCTCTCTGAACAGGCTGGACAGTGGACACCTATTGTTTTCAGAGACGGTAGATTATTAAGTGTTGCATCTGATCTGAAAAAATGAGGCAACACAGATTAGAAATGATGAAGTTATCAAACTTTTGTGTATCTCGTTACTAAAGTTGACTGGGTTATTATGTGACACCGTGACACGACACCTTAATTGGGCACCCTCAACAATTCCCGTAATGTTTAACGGGGTGGTTAACGGGGTCACCTAATCACGTGATTAGGTAAACCAATCACTTTGTGGATATTGAAATAGATTTCAAATTAATCTGACTGCATCTAACTCAATTTAAATTATATTCACTTACGAAGGAAATTATTAACTGCTTTTGGTGAACTATCTGAACAAAATACAATTGAACAATGTGTTACTTTACAGGAGTGAGTGTCTACTGTTTCATGTGCCAGCACTCTCTTCCTTCCTTCATAACTCCCATGAAGAACCAGAACAGAGCCACTCCCGTCCTCCTCTCTGCCTTGGCTGCCTGTCTCGGTATCTACGCTGTCGTCTGCTATACGGCTACTTTCTCCTTTGAAAACCTTGAGGTTTGCAAGGAGTACAACAAATTTAAATACTGTGAAAAATCGTTTTTCAAAACATCTTTGCCAGCAATTCCCATCGTATCAGTGTTTATTTAATTTGATCGGTGTTTATTTAATTTGATATCCGAGTCCAGCATCACTTTCAATTCAACAAATTTGCAAATACGTTATAGACTTACAGATTTACAGTGGTTTGCGTTCTCAATTTTTTCCCGATCCATGACTCAAGTGCCGTAGGCACAAAAGAGTCAACAAGGGTTAGCGAACGAGGTTTTTTTTTGTATATTAGGATGCAATGAAACTATCGGACTACGATGAATGGGGACTTGCCACCCCATGGCAATATTAAAATATATCGACTTTGTGACATCGTTTCCTGTTAATATAAAACTCCGTTACAAACTGAACTGGGATCTGGTAATACTACACCTCAAGTCAATAAAATATGATAGGGTGATGTATTTAGACTCATGCAAATGTTTATGTAATCTATTCTAATAATCTCGAAATGTCCGTATGTGTGTAATTCCAGAGCGGCTCAATCAAGAAAACGGTTAAAGTTATGGGACTGGTTTTTTTCGGTATAGTTTAGACAAAACTCTGACGAAGTCAATAAGCAAAGCTTTTCTAAATCAACCGGTGGTAAGTGGTTTAATTGATGGTTTTGTACCCCAAATGTGGTAATATTACTGAAGTGTCTCACTTTTTTTTCACACTCTCTCTCTCTAACACTATCCCTCCCCATTTACAGCTCCCCTAATTCTCTAATTACAGCTCTGGTATATAATTAGGTAATTTGGCATTAGAGCCAGAAGCCGCAAGTTTGCCTATTAAGTATTACTATTGGATACATGTTGTGCGCTCACTAAATACGCGAATTTTGGCAAAAATTGTTGCTTCAAATCAATTTTATTAACATTAACAATAAAACTTCGCTAATTTCCTTAATATAAGTACTTCGGTGAACTGTCGAACTCTGTTCAAATCAGTCACACACTAATTTCCCCTGCATACAAGTACTGCACCCCCGTCGGCATTTCGAATTCTATACGGGGGAGGGGTCTGGCAAATGCTGACGTCATTAGGGGTCGTTCACATATTATCAGAGATAAAATAATAAAAATTACCATTTTTCACCACAACTGTGAAATTATGCCAGTGTCTGAGAATACACGCTGAGGATATATGGTAGCTTGCGTCTGTAAGGGAGCGCAATTTGATCGCTGGCCCGTTTAGTTTCTATGGTATTGGTAATTATCTTAGAACATTTATTTTGCGCGTTATTTTGGATTAATTGGCTGTCGGTCACGGTGCGCGCAGATATGTAAACATTTTGACCTTTTAATTTCGAGTTAGTATAACATAAAGTATCATGCACAGATCCGTTTCAGCTTGCTTAAGCAATATTAGCATAGGCCTAGGCACTAGGGTTACATAGAATTAGAAATAAAAAATTGTTTTCATAATCAACATGGCCATGGGATATAATATTAATATGAGACGCCATCATGGATCGGGAAATTGAGCGGCCATCCACTTAAGAAATACGGCCGCATTTCTTGTTTTACAGTTACATTGGAACGAGAGGCTATTTGATCATGATGAGTTGACTTTGCCGATATCATGATTATTTTGGTGGCAAGAAATAAAGAGACTTTCAGAGGAATCCAACGTAAATGTTCACCCTTTTCAGGACGTTTACACGCTGAATTTTGCAAACTTTGGCGTGATACCTATCCGATATTTTTTGGAGCTGTACCCGGTGTTCTGTCTGACCGCCAGCTACCCGATCATCGGTATCACACTCAGGAACAATCTCAAAACTCTTTTTTCCAAAGAAGAATATCCCTGGCTCGTTGACAGGGTGAGTTCATAAGCCTTGCAAAATCGAAGACTAATTTATTAACAAAATTGAAACACTTTACGGTTTTTTAGTTCTTACACGAATCCCTCAGGTGGTATTTCCACTCCTGACGATAATCCCACCGACTATTATTGGTATGTGTACGGAGAATGTGGAGTTCCTGGTCTCGTACACGGGTGCGTTTAGTGGTGCGGCCATTCAGTACATCATACCTGCCTGCTTCGTCCTCCTCGGCAGGATTAAGGTAACCCATACCACATACGCAGGGGCGGGGGCTTTACCGGTCATTATGAAATTTTACTTCACGAGGAGGGCGATGATTTCTCTTTAATTATTTGTAAATCAATCATTATAAATGGGGTGGAAAAATATCAGATTTCAAACTTTCGACCGTCGTTTTGTGTGGTGGAGCGCACATCTGTTTGGTGCAGAGAAGCGCACATCTGTTTTGTGCGGACGAGCGCACATCTGTTTTGTGCGGTGGAGCGCACATCTGGTTTAATCTAAAAATTTTTACTATGAAGAATTTCTTCCTTTGATTGTTGATACGTAAGACTAAGCACACAACTCACTTTCGTTTTACTTTTCAGATTAAGGAAGTGTTTGGGAGAGAAGCTTCCTCAGTGAATAAGAACCACAGTGTGTTCTCTTCTAACCTGTGGCCCGTGGTTCTGTTGGTATGGGCAGGGTGCTGCATGGCATTCGTTTTATACTACAAAATAAACGCTGCTTTTTTTTCGGATAATTGACTGTAGATTGAAAACTGCGATAGTATAGGGGATGCAGCGACCAGAACAGTGTTAAATTTGAAACGTCTGACATAAGCTGTCAAATTTGACGGTTGATTCAGTAGGCTCATTATGATTAACACTAGGCTAGGGGGTGATTAATATCCAGTGTTGGACGTTGGTGTTAGTGTTCGGTACTCACCTTAATTTTGTAATGAATGTTATTTAAATAGTTGAATCATGTAACATTTATGTTAAATTCAGGTTTTTAAAAGTTTCAGATTTGATTTTTAAAATTTTGTTAGGATTTAATTATCGAGTTTGTTGATAATTCTCCATACTAAAACAACGCTACTGATTTAGATTTATGTGATGCGATGCTGGTACGTAGTCAGGGGGGGGAGGAGGATCTGGGCAATGGATGAAAAGAGGCCGAAAAATTGGTATCTGCACTCTGCAGTACAGTAATACTAATTAGACTAAGGTATAATCAGGGGTAGGAAGCGGGGGACTTTACAATATGCATCCCTTCTTCAAACCACACTTACTTCGCAAATGCTGTCGGCAAGCCTTAATATGCATATTAAATCGTATTATTTGAATAGTTTTTGAAAATGATCTCTATGAGTCTATCGGCACATTTGACATTGCTCGGCTAGAGTCTAAACCTTTTACACGAGCAAAATCGTCAACAATTTTTAGCGTACTGTAAATTGTTCGCCATGTATTGATATCCATCTGCTAACAGAATTAGGACAAGATGCAGCTTTTGTGTTTTGGCCATCCTGCTATAAGCTTATGCTGGTATTATCATTTCGTTTTTGTTTTAAGTACTAATCATTTTCTCTGTTCTTGATGTCTTTACCTGGGGACCTCAGGCTATTATATTTATAAATCAAGAGGCTTGCATATAATGAACATATTGACACGGGTGCAGAGTTGAGTCTGTACGGAACCTATTAGTTTCAGATCCTTGTTTAACTTGCCGTACAGCAAGGTCATCCACTACTTTAGCCCGGCGAGGCACATAACTCCCTCCACAACTCCATGACAAATGTTTCATATATACTAGCCGAGTTCACAAGATATATCCTTGTGTTTGAGAAGAGCTCGTTAGAACTGCTTCCTTTCCCTTCAGTATCCCACAGTCTCTCGAGTTTCGTAACTGCCAGAGAACTCTCTTAAACAATTACTAGACTCGGTGATTATAAATCAAGAGGCTTGCATATAATGAACATATTGACACGGGTGCAGAGTTGAGTCTGTACGGAACCTAGTAGTTTCAGATCCTTGTTTAACTTGCCGTACAGCAAGGTCATCCACTACTTTAGCCCGGCGAGGCACATAACTCCCTCCACAACTCCATGACAAATGTTTCATATATACTAGCAGAGTCATAATCATAGAATAGAGATTCGGCGGAATGACAGGCTGAGCGCGGCCCAGTATTACTATTAGTAATTATGTCTTCAATTTAATTCAGGTGTGGCTGTTTTTATAAAAATCAATTAGTATTACTTCCTTATCGGACTGAACGGACATTAATTGGCCGCGCTCAGCCTGTCATTCCACCGAATCTCTATTCTATATTATGTTTATGAACATAATAGCCTGAGGTCCCCAGGTAACCTTTTAAAACTCTAACCGTTTTTTAATTAAGCCGCTCGGAAATTACACGTGTACACACATACATACACACCCACCGACAGATTTATTGGGATTATTAGTATAGATGTTTTAGGTTTAACGATTCAACACAATATTTTAATTTTGTATAAAATATCCGCTGTTAAATTTATTGATTGCTTTCAAACTATTTTAAAATTGTCAATTCCGCTTAAATGATGAAATAATTTAATTTTGTATTCAATTACTTTATCAAACAAATAATCTTATTTAACTTAAATAAAATCAAATTTAGAATATTCTAATTTCATGCCGCACATAAAACACGAATAAACTGACTTCTAGAAAGTAACTATTGGGCAACTTCCTCGCCTTAGCTCAATAAATATTTCAATAAGTAATTTTAAGAAGAATTTAAACATTACAACCTATTTAATTTCAATCTAAGAAATCATCCCAATTATGAAGCATCCTGTACTACTACTACTAGTAGTAGTACTACTGCGCAGTGTACAATAACAAATAATTCAACTAAAAGAATTTATGCTAAAGGAGATACCAGTCCTAAATTACAGATTCAAATTCAGGACTGATACGTGTAATTTGGTGTGAGCTGTGCCTGTGGCACGAGCTATCTAGGAAAACCATCCTGGAGCAAGCTTGTGTTTTACTGAGCTTCTCTCCTGGTCGCTAAACTCCAGAACTGTGAATATTGCCAGCAAAATTTGTCTCCTCTCAGAACCACTCGATTTTAGGTACCTAGTAGGGAGGCAGTATTAGTAGGTACCTATCAGTAGGGAGGCAGTATTAGTAGGTACCTATCAGTAGGGAGGCAGTATTAGTAGGTACCTATCAGTAGGGAGGCAGTATTAGTAGGTACCTATCAGTAGGGAGGCAGTATTAGTAGGTACCTATCACTATCAGTAGGGAGGCAGTATTAGTAGGTACCTAGTAGTAGGGAGGCAGTATTAGTAGGTACCTATCAGTAGGGAGGCAGTATTAGTAGGTACCTAGTAGTAGGGAGGCAGTATTAGTAGGTACCTATCAGTAGGGAGGCAGTATTAGTAGGTACCTATCAGTAGGGAGGCAGTATTAGTAGGTACCTATCAGTAGGGAGGCAGTATTAGTAGGTACCTATCAGTAGGGAGGTAGTATTAGTAGGTACCTATCAGTAGGGAGGCAGTATTAGTAGGTACCTATCAGATGGGAGGCAGTATTAGTAGGTACCTATCAGTAGGGAGGCAGTATTAGTAGGTACCTATCAGTAGGGAGGCAGTATTAGTAGGTACCTATCAGTAGGGAGGCAGTATTAGTACTAGTAGGTACCTATCAGATGATAACGTGGATTTTAGGTACCTATCAGATGATAACGTGGATTAATAAAATGGCGACAGGTAAGGTCACGAAATCAGGAATATGATCTGAATTCTGAAAAGATGGCGTAAAACGGATGTAAAAACTAAAATGACGAAGTTATCAAGCAATTTGATTATCTCGTTAGCAAAATTGATTGGGTCATCAATGATTACGGATTACCCAATCATTAATCATGTGATAGCGTGCTACGACACTTTCTGTGCCAATCCAATCACCTGATCACACTGAATGAATAAACTCGTTCTGCTTCATATCTCGGCAACAGCACCTTAAAACATGGATTGTGGATGTAATAAGAGATGTATGTAATGATCATGTTAATAACCTGAGCACGATGTTTTTTAAATACTCCAAGTTAGCTGACTCTCTTGTAGAGTTCCGGATAAGCCGACTGGTTTCTTGTCTCAAGTTAGTCACCTCTCCCAGGTACACGTGCTCATTTCTCTCTTTCTCCCTAAGACTTTGCTCTAGAGTTTCTCTTGTTGCTTTCAGTTTCGTTAACTCTTTCTAGTTTGGTGTAAGAATGAGCTAACTTAAGAAGTTAATAGAAGTAATCAAGTATCAACGAAACGGCCAAGTAGTATGAATTTCAATTACAGCACTATTATGTAATTAATTATACATCTTAGTACAGGTTGGGGGAGGGGGGCAGGTTCCCCTGTGCACAATATTACTCCCACTACACTACACTTTACTGGCAACTGGGTGGCGCTCAGCCTGTCATTCCGCCTAAACTCTATTCTATGATTATGAACATAAATAAAATAGCCTGAGGTCCCCATGTAACAATACTATATATAATTGATTATAAAGTATTACCGTTATAAATGTGTGCTGTTGTTTGTAGAAAATCATGGTCCTGGGTACATTTTCCATCTCTACGTTAGACAGAAGTTCCCCCATCAAATTCCCTTCTTTCACATCAGGTTTTCTACGGGGAATAGTACAAATTATGATGCGCTTCTACTTTCTGGGTATTAGCAGAAACCCGTCTAACTTTAAAGTTGTGTCAAGATATATAACAATCTTTATTAAATTTGTGATTTTGACACCACTTGGGGGTCCAAATTTCGGGACCTTAAGTTCTTCTTTTTTGGCAAATTTTTTATTTCTTCGCACTGGTCAAAAGGCCATAAAATTTAAAGCATTTCACCCAGCCAAAAATGTTTCAATCTTATGTCCCTCACGGTTTTTGCGAAAAGTCGTGTTCTACATATATGGACACGTTCATTTGAGTTTGAGGATATTGGTAAACAAAAATAATAGCGTTTTTGACGATAGTGGCTTAATTTTGACATCTATTAACCTAGCACGTTCAGAAGTTCTGAACATTAGCCACGTAGCCCATCCTCCCATATGCACCGCTCAGAAAGAAAATCTATTGTTGTTAGGCACTATAATGTTTCAAATGTCACATTTTGTGTGACTTAGTTAACTGCAGTTGTCTAATTATCATTCCTCGGTCTGAAATATAGTAAATTAGGTCAATCTAACAATTATGATACAACATTGGTTAATGGGCACGGATCGAACGGTTACAAGGCAATATTTGGGTAACTTTGTCACACTCATGATACCATACCTCTATTCTACTGTGAGGTGTCCTAAAAACCCTTTCAACTCATTATTTGATGGTTGCTCTACCAATCATAGCCCTAAAATATGTTGTTTTGAATATATAGCTAATACAGGCACTCGGTTATTGGGAAATGAGGTTAATTCTGTCACAATATATGGAATTTAAAATTTTGGGCGAATTATTTATATCTGATTTTGGTTTGAAAGGCGGGAAAATTTTATATGATGACAATGTAGTTGATGCAAGTTAAGATCAGTTGATGTTAACATTGTCACAAAAAATTATACGAAATCGTAAATAGATTAAAAACAATGATTATAGAATGAAATAGTCTCTTATAATAACTCTTATAATAACCCTTATAATAACTGATGTGACAAAGTAAACATGTCTTGCCCCTATTTTGAAGATCTATATTCTATACCTCTATTAGAATATTGTCCAGAACATCAGAGCTTAAGTTTAACAATTTTAGGTTAAATTTGTCAAAGTCACTAAAAATGTGACAAAATTAACTTTTCATGCCCCAACAATTTCAAGATAGTGTGTAAAAATTAGCATAGGCTGCTTTATTACCTATATAAATCAATCCAAACTACAAAAAAATATATGTTAATGTGATGACGATTACCTAACTCTTATAATAACTGATGTGACAAAGTAAACATGTCTTGCCCCTATTTTGAAGATCTATAACTCTATTAGAATTCAACATTCTTTCATAAACGATTGGAAGAATATTGTCCAGAACATAAGAACTCAATTTTAAAAATTTAGATTAATTTGTCAAAGACATTGAAAATGTGACAAAATTAACTTTCCCTGCCCCAACAGTATCAAGATAGTGTGTTAAAATTGGCATAGGATTTATTACAGGTATATTAAAGTATTAATCGATCCAAACTACGAAAAATATCTTTTAATCTGATGACGATTACCTAACTCTTATAATAACTGATGTGACAAAGTAAACATGTCTTGCCCCTATTTTGAAGAACTATACCTCTATTAGAATACTATGTAACTTAATCATCAAAAAAATTTCGATAAACTAGTTATTTTGCCAGCAAGGAGCTAACAGAGTTATAATAATTTTTTGTGACGAAATTACCCTATTTTTGACCATGTAGCGGTAGTTTAATTGTGACACTGTTAACATATTACCACCTGATAATGATTTATGTGACTGGTGCATGGTACTAGCAGTGTTGTTTGATCCATAGTACGTATAATATAAGGGGTTTAAGCTGGTATATCATTATTTGTTCAATTTCACACATGTTCAGATATCATCAAGATTATGTGACAAAGTAAGCTTGGTTGTGCCTTCTGTGTTTTAATTCCTTACGACTATATGATATAATAACAATTCCCAGCACTTTCAGGCCATCAAATAAACTGACACTACTCAGCATTGCTTATCAGGGTGCCCTAAACATTCATCACATATTTTCTTTAATGTGTGACAGAGTAAACCTGAATGCGCCATCTAACGAAAAAAGTCGTCAAATATGTAGGTAATGGTCATATGTACCCATCCAATCAACTGGACACTCAAAAATTTGGTCAAAAACGGCAGCAAGGGGTCCATATTTACTCCGTCACATGTTTATAGTGTGACAATGTAACCATTTCCGTGCCGGCCGTATTTAAGCGATATCTTATCACCTGATTAAGATATCGTTATGTGACAAAGTTAGCCTGGAGGATGAGACGATTATCCTAACCATCAAGGGTTTAAGTAATTTCATAGTGTGACAAAGTCAAATACACTGTGCCTTTTAATAGGGTCACTTATATTTACCAATATCCTCAAACTCAAATGAACGTGTCCATATATATTATAGGTGATGCCGATGAGAAAGTGTGCAGAGTCATTTGTATTATTTAGGGTATAATAAGTCGAATTGAGTTAAGAAACTTCGTGGATAGTTTCAAGATAAGTTTCTTCAAATAGTATAACAGAATACAGATAATTCGGTCATCGAAATGACTGTGGCCGGCTTTTGCCAGCCTAATCTGAAGTGATGACACGATAGATTACGCGCGCATATTTTAACTTCACGCGCGCAATTATTAGGTATTAGATTCCCGCGCGTTCCACATGTCTGGAAATGCAGAGGGTGTTTTCTCAGATTTTGTGGCGGATATGAATCTTGCCCCCATCATGTATTTTGCCTATTATTGAACTATTATTCTACCTTATTCAAAATTATTCTGACACTTGTTATTTTTCACAACTATGATTGAAATGATCGAGAATTCAGCAAGTAACTAGCCGGCCAGTGACTTACTAGCTACTAGCCGGTCACTATAAGTTACCAGCTATTAGTATAATTAATGCTCCTTCTTTATTACTAGTAGCCACTCTCATTTGATAGAGAGGGAGCATTTGAACTAGTAGCCGGCTAGTGACCGGCTAGTGAACGCCTAGTGAACAACTAGAAGCCTATAGTCAGTAAGTGGTCACTAGCCAGTTAGTAGCCGGCTAGTGACCGGCTAGTGACCACCTCTTAATTTGATAAGAAGGGAGCATATAATTGCTAGTAACCCGAGTAGCCGGCCATTGATCGGCTAGTGACTACTTTAGAAGTACCGAATAGTGACCACTTTTTAGTTGTGACATAGCTATATTATATAATATATAGCTATAATTTGGTTTGGTTATGATGTGGTTCTAACATGGTTATGCAATGGTAATGATATGGTAATGACATGGTTATGACATGGTTATGACATGGTTATGACATGGTTATGACATGGTTGTTAATACAATTGAATTGCTATAATATATATATATATATATATAAATATAGATTTCCGTTCACTACAAGCTCTGATCATAGTTCATATAACATGAAGACTTTGTTGTAACTTGTATGAAAACCATTAATAGTTCATATCATAGTTCATATCAGTTCATTTCGCTTCATAATATTATGCTTTAAATACGGGAAACACTTGTGATCCAGTACACAACATGTGTACACTACACGCGCATGCACTGACTAAAGTACTATACAAGTACAAATCTCCGCAAGCAACCCTTGCGCGCTGCACGCGTCTTTCTCGCTCTTTTTCTGCAAAATCCCTCTTTTTCTGCAAAAACTTCCATTCGTAACCTTTCATTTAAAATGTTTGTGTCGCAAAAATGATTTACGGAAATAAATAGGAGTGGAGAAATGAGGAAATTGATTGATATAATATAGATTATTAATTCTTTAGCTTAAATTTAATTTTTATATTTAGTAAACGATCAATCATGATATTTATTGATATTGTTGAATATATAATTATCATAATATAAAATTATGTAATATCCTATTGAGGCTCATGAGTCATGGGGATTTATTTAATTGGGGTGTTTACTACTACTACTTACGATTTGGAATAAAGTTTCTTCTTTAACTCGGCGACTTCTTCATCACCTTCTGCTAAAAGTTCCTGTAAAATATTTAGTAATAACTTGACAAACTGGATATTTTCGAAAAATCAATATTGCTAATACTTATATTTCCCCAGATATTGCCAAATTAACCATGCTGAGTCACCTGCGATCTTAGTCGAGCTTTAGTGCTACTCTCCAAGAGCTCAGTGAGCCGTAAACAATGACCTTTGTCCAGCTTAGTAATTTCTAATGTGTGCTGCTCAGCTATCTGGAACAATCGAATGATTAATTTCTTAAGTAGGCGTGGAGTTACTGGAATAAACTATTGATGTATCTACGATCGGGAGCTTTTCTTAAAACCTCCCTTCTACAATCTCCCACTCACTTAAGGCATTATTTTTCTCCATACATATATATCACATAATACCTCCTATCTTGATTGCGCGTGTATGGATGATTTGTGAATTGAACGTGTCAACGAAACAAGAAATGCGGCCGCTTTTCTTTTGTGGATGGCCGCTCAATTTCCCGATCCGTGATTGCGTATTTTTCATATTCCATACAACCTGGGCACCCTAGGCTTTACTGTTTATAAGCATGCAGATATGGTGGAGTGACAGGTCCATAATCGTATATCGAAGGGTAGGTGCGGACTTCGAAAACCGAAAAATGTTTTCGGCACATAACGATCAGGGTAGCATGTTGTCTTAATTGAGTTTGTTGTCTTAATGTTGTCTTAATGTTGTCTTAATGTTGTCTTAATATTTTATCTTATTTTGTTGTCTTATCGGTGTTTGTTGTCTTAATCTTGTCTTATTGTTGTCTTATTGTTGCCTTAATGTTGTCTTAATGTTGTCTTAATGTTTGCTTTAATGTTGCCTTAATGTTGCCTTAATGATGCCTTAATGTTGTCTTAATGTTGTCTTATCGTTTGTTGTCTTATTGGTGTTTGTTGCGTTAATGTTGTCATAATGTTGTCTCATTGTTGTCTTAATGTTGTCTTATTTTTGTGTTAATGTGTCTTAATGTTGTCTTAATGTTGTCTTATTGTTGTCTTAATGTGTCTTAATGTTGTCTTAATGTCCCATCGGTGTTCGTTCTAGTTGCCCACCTGTTTGATGAGTTGCAAAATAATAAACTCGTTAAAAACAATTAATCCAGAAATGAAAGCCTGTATCCCACTACAAGTGCTATAGTGCTATAGTAATAGTGCTGACCTATAGTGCTATAGTGCTATAGTAATAGTGCTGACCTCGTTAAGTTGGATCTTGTGTTGCTCTGTTAACTTTACCAGATTCAGCTGCTGCTGTTTCTTCTCGTCCTGCAATTTCCTTATCTGCAATATTAATAATTTGGATAATTTTGATAATTTGGTCCTAGCTACCTTATTTTACAATATACTACTAATAATATACTACTTATAATATACTACTTATAATATACTACTTATAATATACTACTTATAATAAACTACTTATAATATACTACTTATAATATACTACTTAGAGTTGAGACACAGTTGATAAACTGCGGAGTGACTAAAATGCTATACAGCAAAAAACAGAACGCTCCAACCAAACACTCCACCTACTGATCCTAACCACCCTAACAACTCTCTAGCTCTCTCTCTTCAACCCTCATTCTCTCATTCCTCTTGGTGCACAAAACCATTCTAACCTATGTATGTCCCCCCTACGGGTTCCACAAGCCCAACGGTACATAGTTAGACGAAAAACAGAGAAGCCTTGATTGCCAGATCAAGGACTGCATCAGTAGCAGCGAAATACGGATATACCTTCTCCCTTACAGTCAGCGAGCTGACAACTATCTGACTGTGTCTTTTAGGCCTTGCCACACCACCTTCGCTATTGCATCCGCTCGCCCGTATTCACTGACACATGCCACACCTGGGTTTAGTATGAAGATGTACGCATATTCACCCAAGATGCGGAGATGCCTCAGTTTAGCGAGTTGAGATACAACAGCAAACTCACAGGATCATGGATCAGAATCATCAGTTACCAACCTGACACCGTTTCGGGGCTTTAATCGCAATACGGTTTCCTGTCAGGCGCCCCAGCAGTCCACTCTTGAACCACCATCTGATCCGAGAGTCACTTGAGGAGACCCGTTAGAGCTCGCAATTGGCGACGAGATAACGTTTATGGTACCTCTAGATGTTATAGTGAACTCTCAAGCTCCAACCTTCCTGAACTCCCACTCCCTCTTTCTCGATAACAAGTAAATCCACCTGGAACAGTGGGCTGCCTCTTTCCCGCTGTCCCGTACCAGCTTCTTCAGCTCTCTTCCCCTAAAACCAATCCTCTTCGCAGCTCTCTCCAAACTCTGCGCAACAACTCCCCTAGCTCCAACTTCGACTGCGGCATTATAACAGCACCAACCTTTCGCCTGAATCTCAGCCTGCAGACCGCTGTATCGGTCGAGCTTGTACTCGTGCGATTCAGCGATCCGCTCTTCAGATGGTACTGTTAGCTCCCACCAAATAACTGTCTTTGCCGACCTTGAGAATATCACAAGGTCCGGCCTCAGCCGTGTTTCCACAATCTCACTGGGAAACTTAAGCTGCCCCTCAAGGTCTGACAGCACTATCCAATCCCGATACCCACTCAGGATCCCAAAACCACGACTCTCTTTCCGGTCGTCTGTACCTGCTTTTCTTTTCCCAGCAGGAACAAAATCAATGAACTGCCTTCCATCGCCGGCCTTGTTCTTATAAGTGTTCACTCGGCGATCACAATGGAAGACAACCTGTTCAGAGATCTGCTTCAGAACCTTGTCGTGCCGCCATCTATACCTTCCTTGACTAAGGGCCACCTTACACCCAGCCAAAATGTGCTGAATGGTGCCCATCCTCTCCTCACATAACTTGCACTTCCCATCCTCATCTTCACTCCACTTGGAAACCATAGAGGGAGTTAAGAGGGTGCCGTACACAGCACTTAGCATGAACCCAATAAGTGAGTCACCATACTTAAAAAGTGTATGCCAGCTCAAATCCGTCTTCATTACGAGCTCTCTCCACTCACCCCACCTGCTCTGCATCTCCAGAGAACCTACTTGCACCTCCCTCTCTCTTTCAATGTTCTCCTTCACTCTCAGCATTACCTCCTTTTCTCTTTCCCGCTCATCCATCCTCTCCCAAGGTTTTTTTCCAGTCACCAAAACCGATGCCAACTCTTTTTTGAGGTTGCACCATCCCTCGCACCGATTCACAGACCAAATCTCTTCTGGCCTCTTCCAGTTCTGTCTCAGGCCTCCAAACTCTACCAGAACGAACTTGGGGCTGGACTGCTTTAATCAGGTCATCCTTAGATGTCTGATAGGATTGCAACAGTCGACACTTCTCTATCTTCCATGTATCTGTCAAACTGCTCACCGGTAAGGCCACACTGGATGATTGACTGAACAGACAAAGACCACTCAGAGTGTGCCCCACCCCTAACCACTTCCTGAGGAAACTATTGGTGTTCTGTTCCCATCTGGTAACTGTTGTGATCGGAATATCATAGATGGCAAGAGGCCACTTCAGTTTTGGAATATACTACTTATAATATGCTTCTTATAGTATACTTTTTAAGTAGCAAAATTTTGCGTTCCACAGATATAGCCACATATTGTGCCACAGCGGATATATTATACCTTTAAATTATGTAAGGAAGCGTTTAATAACATGATAGTAGAATAAAGCGCTTACTTCGAGCTTCAACAGAGTGACATTGTTCCGGATCTTTGTTAACTCCACTTCTCTGATAATATAGTTATGGTTACTTTCGGAAAAAGCAAACGAAGCATAATTATCAAACTGTAAGTTCCGTTTATCGATCATCAGGGTCGAGAAATAAACACAATTACAATAACAGGGGGGGGGGGGCATAAGTAATTTTCCATACGTTGGCCTTTATAGCTCAATCACTGAGTGCTCTATTAAAATAATTATTTCTGGTATAACTTGCTATTATCACTCATTCGATGAATATATCAAATCAAAGAGATTTCATGTTCATTTTTCGTGAATGAAGGTTCATTTTCGCATTTATTTGAAAAGTTTGAATAATCGGATCGAGCCAAATTGTATTGAATTGTGTTTGGCCATTCAAATAACATTTGGCCAAAACAAATGAGAGGTCTAGCTTCTCAGATGACCAAGATATGAAGCAACAAGTTTATTCATTACGTGTGATCAGGTGATTGGTTGACACTAGGTCCGCATTATGGGAACGTGCAGAGCCCAATGACGGTATCGTAGCACGTTATCACATGATTAGTGATTGGGTAATCATTGATAACCCAATCAATTTTGCTAACGATATAAACAAATTGCTTGATAACTTCGTCATTTTAAATCTGTTTTGCGCCATCTTTTCAGATCATATTCCAGATTTGATGACCTATCGCAATAGAGTCTCTAACATGTTCATAGACACAAGTATAAGCAATTTAATGTTGATTGGGTGTGGCCCCTAAAAATTGAATTTTCAAATTTTGGCGACGCGGTCCTCGATTGAGTATTTACCCCCCCCCCCCCCCCCCCCCCCTGTATATCAAAACCCCCCTCCTATGGTCTCTTGCACTGTAAGGCATAATTTTTGACATGTTTCCCGATCCATAACTCATGCGCCATAGGCAAAAAAGAGTCAAGGACAAGGCCAAGGGTTAGCAAACAAGGTGTTTTTGTTTATGGCATCTTGCGCACTCCGTAGGGTTCATTCCGGCCTCAGAATTGCGCACTCCGTAAGGTTCACTCCGGCCTCATGATTGCGCACTTCGTAGGGTTCACTCCGGCCTTAGGATTGCGCACTTCGTAGGGTTCACTCCGGCCTCAGGATTGCGCACTCTGTAGGGTTCATTCAGGCCTCAGGATTGCGCACTCCGTAGGGTTTACTCTGGCCTTAGGATTGCGCTCTGCGTAGGGTTCACTACGGCCTCAGGATTGTCGATGGCCCGTTAAGTCGCTATGGTAATTGTATCGCAAAGTTTTTGCGCGATATTCTGAACAGCAAACAAAAACGGAAACTTATAAAACTTAAAGTGAGCATATAATTCATGCCACCCTATAGTCATCCAGTGATGTTAAATGACCTCTTTCCAGGAAGCTTCCTCTCGTAAATAAAGTGTTATCCAAAAAACTTCGCGAAACTAATCCAAATTGTTTAAAGCATTGCTTATAGCAATTGGGATTGCTTTATTATCTTTTTTTATAGTAGTAGTTGTAGTAGTAGTAGTAGTAGTTTATAGCATTGCAATTATTTTTAATTCTTGATCCAATCCACCTATTTGTTTAGTTCGCAAGTCGCAACAGAGGGAAGTTAGAATGTACATATTATAACAAATTAGCATTGATCACTTAATTTTAAACTGTGCCTCATTTTTATATTGATATTAATATTAGTATATATTATAACAAATAAATAGTGTATACTAACAATGTCCACAAACTGACGACTCACCTATTCTTAGATACTAGCTGTAGTGGAACTATGTCTGTACAGGATGTAGACGGTGTAGTAGGTGGATCTGGTGTAGTAGGTGGATCTGGTGTAGTAGGTGGATCTGGTGTAGTAGGTGGATCCGACAGGACGATGTTAGTGTTCACACTAACACTAACACTCCGCCGTTCTGTCTTGCTGCTGTCAGTCTCTACTTCTAGTGTGGAGACCCGTGCTGTAAGCCGTGCGATTTCGTCCTGGTCATGTTTCTGTGTTGCATCGTAGTCCGCTATCAGCTCAGATAGATCAGTTAACCTGAAATAGTAGTCCGCTATTAGCTCAGATAGATCAGTTACTACTACTAAAATAGTAGTCCGCTATTAGCTCAGATAGATCAGTTAACCTGAAATAGTAGTCCGCTATTAGCTCAGATAGATCAGTTAACCTGAAATAGTAGTCCGCTATTAGCTCAGATAGATCAGTTAACCTGAAATAGTAGTCCGCTATTAGCTCAGATAGATCAGTTAACCTGAAATAGTAGTCCGCTATTAGCTCAGATAGATCAGTTAACCTGAAATAGTAGTCCGCTATTAGCTCAGATAGATCAGTTAACCTGAAATAGTAGTCCGCTATTAGCTCAGATAGATCAGTTACTACTACTAAAATAGTAGTCCGCTATTAGCTCAGATAGATCAGTTAACCTGAAATAGTAGTCCGCTATTAGCTCAGATAGATCAGTTAACCTGAAATAGTAGTCCGCTATTAGCTCAGATAGATCAGTTACTACTACTAAAATAGTAGTCCGCTATTAGCTCAGATAGATCAGTTAACCTGAAACAGTAGTCCGCTATCAGCTCAGATAGATCAGTTAACCTGAAATAGTAGTCCGCTATTAGCTCAGATAGATCAGTTACTACTACTAAAATAGTAGTCTCTGATTCTAACCTGTTTTAAAGGTCTCTGATTCTAACCTGTTTTCAAGGTCTCTGATTCTAACCTGTTTTCAAGGTCTCTGATTCTATTCTGATCTGCACTGCTCTGAAGGTGCAACTGCTGGTGAACCTTCTTTTCTTTCTCATTCTTCAGTGCGTCCAGCTCAACTCTTAGTTTTCTCAACTCAACCACCTCCTTCTCTAGCTGAGGGATACAAATGGTAGTGTAGGGACTGTTCTACATTACTATTGATCCAGGTAGTAAATGTAGGGACTGTTCTACATTGCTAATAATCCAGGTAGTAGTGTAGGGAATGTTCTACATTACTAATAATCCAGGTAGTAGTGTAGGGACTGTTCTACATTACTAATAATCCATGTAGTAGTGTAGGGACTGTTCTACATTACTAATAATCCAGGTAGTAGTGTAGGGACTGTTCTACATTACTAATAATCCATGTAGTAGTGTAGGGACTGTTCTACTTCATCATTGCTACTCATCCAGAAGTTAAATTTTGGGCGAGTGCATTTCCAATTCCTGTTTTCATGCATTCATGCAATCCAGGATCGAAGAAAAACAATGAGGAAATTCTTTGGCTTTGAAAGAAGTAACCATTTGCCTTTGGGAATGGATCTGCAATTGTAGTACAGTACATTACGAGATACTCACATTTAACTGGCACTCTGTCCGACAAATCGCAATTTCGTCACTTACAAATTAAAAAGGCCTAAGGGTAATTCCACGTTAAGGTCCCACTTGGTGAAAATACTTTCTTTTTTTACAGCGGGGGAGGCGCCAAATGATAACGTTACGCCACTATAATAGTTGGCTCATGAGACTTACCAGCAAGAATTCTCTAGTTGGCTCATGAAACTTGATCCTGATCTTCTCAAGCTCCCCACCTAAGTACGTTTTTTCCTCATTTAGTAACTTTATCTTATCTGTAAACAGCTTCCTTTGCTTTTCGAAGTTTTGTGAGCTTCTTATATCGTCCAGCTCTAACTCCAGCTTCTGGTTTGAATTTCTCTCCGCAGCTGGGATGTCTGAGTCTTACACGTTAATGATTCTAGTCGCTAATTTACACAGCATGTGTTTTAGTTAATTATAGTAGTCGCTAATTTACCCAGCATGTGTTTTAGTTAATTATAGTAGTCGCTAATTTACCCAGCATGTGTTTTAGTTAATTATAGTAGTCGCTAATTTACCCAGCATGTGTTTTAGTTAATTATTATAGTAGTCGCTAATTTACCCAGCATGTGTTTTAGTTAATTATAGTAGTCGCTAATTTACCCAGCATGTGTTGTAATTCCCGTAACATGGCCACATGATGAGTCTGTTCTTGCTCTCGTTCGTGTTGTTCGTTTCTCAGTTTACTCTTCATCTCTTTCAAATGAACCTGTAGTAGACCCTGGGCATTAGGAAAGTTTGCACGAGATGGACCACTTTTTTCCCAATCCAACCTTAAAATATTGTCATAGGAAGAACTTTTAAGATAGGCATATGATATTTCACATGTCTATAGTTCAACCCTAGTTGAACTAATTGAGTTTCGATTAATAACATTTTTGGAGCATTTAGTCGAGGGCAAATTGAGGCTAACGAGTCATTTTACATGTTGTTTTCTAATGAAACATGCAATAAAAGTTTTAACGTGTTTAATCGATTCATCAGATCGAACTCTTTCCTAATCCAAAGACTCAAAGAGAAGAGGGACATTTTTTCGCTAATAAAGGGGAAAATGAGGCTAACAAGTCATTACTAATTTTTGAATTATATTTGAATAATAACGTCTATCAAAGTATCCTCTGACCTAAAATACATGAGATGGATGCTCTATGTCGAAGGCCGGCCCAGCCGACCCCTTTTTTTTAATGGAGGGTTAAGTGAGGCTAAGAAATCGTTTCTAATTTTTGGATTGTGTTTGAACAATAATGTCCTTTAAACTATCCTTTGACCTGGTATACATTATAATATGGATACTTTAGGTCAATGGTAGACTCCACCTACCGTTTCTGTCTTTTGGAGGGTAAAATAAGGCTAAATATCAAAGTTTTGTTTATTACTTGTTCTACAGCCTCTTCAGACTAGCCCTTGATATTGTTTCTTTTTAACCTGTATTCATAAATAGTCGACGATCATATAATATACTAACCTGACATGAGTTTTGGGAGGTGAGATTGAGGCTAACTACTGTCACACTTATTAAAATATTTAACAGTGATAGTTTTAATGTTGAATGCTTTTATTTACTATAAGATTTAATCAACTTGTCTGTTGTGACAGTACAATATCTAGGGACTGAAGATCAACAGTATCTGTTAGCCCCAATTTCGCCTCCCGGAGAGAGGGTAGCCTCAATCCAACCTCACATAAGTTATGATAAAGTCCTAATAACCTGCGGGCTACAATAACCTAATAACAAGTTTATAAGTGGGTCTATAAGCTGTTTCCGTACATTGAAGTAAAAATGCGATCGAAACTCGAATTATTTATTAGCCTCATTTTGGCCTCCTACAAGTAGACTCGGCGATTTTTGAAATGTTGAGCTTGAAGAGGATGAATCAATCTTTATTGTTGACACATTAGATAGTCACAATACCGAACCTGCTCGAAAATATACACAAAAGTATTCTTGTTTGCCTCATTTCACCCTCTCAAAAGGTGGTCAGGGTTAAAAATAAAAAAACAAAAAAAGAAAAGAAAAAAAAAAAAAGAAAAAAAAAGGTGGTTAGCATCATTTTCACCTCGAATATTTAAAGCTTAGATCTCGATCAAGTATAATCACTATGGATTATTATATGTACTTGCAACTTGGATATTATGGACGTAACATGAGTAAGTTCTTTTTGAAAGTGATGAGGCTAATTCGTTTAAAGCCTAAATTGTCCCTCGCAGTTTAATCACTCCTACTGAGTCTAGTGAGTGAGCTAGGAGGTCGCCGAACATCTCATTTTAAAGCCGTATCAATTTTCTATACGCATACTAAAAAATGTGTAACTAAAACAGAAATGAAATTACAGAAGTTTGAAATGTTTTAAAACGAACTTTTAGGGGTGTTTCTAATGACCAGGGTCAGTAGGTGGATGGACTACGGTTCAATAATATACGTTTTCTTGATTATTCAGATTCTTTAGAATTACAATTAGAATGATTAATGATTTATCGTTTCATCTATTATGTAATAGTTTTACTTCTAATAGTAGTAGTAGTACTACATACCTCATAGTCAGCCCTATCTCGTTGAGATACCGTGTGCTGAGCAGACTGCGAGTTCTGAAAATACATTTTTTACGAATACCTTTAAGTAAATACTATTATATAGTATTATATAAGGAACTAATATAAGTAAAATACACAATGGTTTAATCTACCATCTACAAATTAGTCAGAGGCCAGGGAAAAAGCGAAAATAGAAGTGATTAGTTTACTACTACTACTGGTTAGGAATTTATAAAGTCCTCATTATCACACTCAGGCATTCATTTTCATTGAACGAATAAAAATAATGCTATGCAGAAGCTTGTTCATCATTATCATTGACTTCATCATAACTGTTACCATGCATGATGATCAGATGATGGCTGAAATCACTCATATGCCTACACGGAGTAGAAGGATTAAATATGAGAATCTTGCAGATAAGCGGGGAGAAGTAGGAGGACTTATTACAGATTGGTTGCTATGGAGACAGCGTATCAATACTTGCACGCTGAAGCTGCCTTAAGTCAAGTCAAGTTTTGTAACGATTGGTCACCTCATATACCTAAACTCAGATTATCTTAAAATTTATTCCGCTTTTAGTTTTATTCCCACTCTCGATTCCTTTCTAGCAGTCCGGTTAATTTAGTACCTTTAGTGGGTCTCATTTAATCATTAGCTCTAATTAAAGAACCTCTCACCCTCTCAGAAAACTCCGTTCGGAGATATTCCTTATTACGCTCTAAGTTATTAATTTTCCTTGTGTTTGAATCCTTTCACTTTTTAACTGTTTTTAGTCTTTGTTATTTTCGGCCGATTTCTGCACTTTTACACTGGGTCATCATTCATAATTTCTGGGATTGAGACGACTTATATGAGCATTTAAGGAAGAGTTTGCTTGTCTGACTTACTTCATTAGACACTTCTGGTCAAGAACTGAACAAGAACCACATTCGAAGACTGGAACATCTGAATGACTCTGCAACCCAGGAATCAACTACTCAGTTATTATCGCTCAATAATCGGTTTGGTATCGACGTTACATACTTTATTATTTTTTTTTTTTTAAAAAGCTGATTTTAGAAACCAGGGAATTAAAGTTACTGTCCTAAGGCTAACATTAAATCGCTGATTTTATTTATATATATCACTTTTTTTTGTTCTTTCTTTTCCTTCAAAACATTCCAGTACATTGTGCAGAAAGTTGGAGATGAAGCCGTAGTACGTACATGTAGCATTGCACTGGATTGAACTTGCAGAGTGTGGTTTTTTCCAGTCTGCGCCGTGTGCTTATACAAATATACGCGGCGCAGATAGACTGGAGGAGATTGCACTGTGTAGGCTCTGGTGTAATGTGATATGTATGTACTACGGCTTTACAAATTTTGGAAGCATGTAGGGATATATTTCTGATACCAATCGTATATACTAAAAATACTCTAGCACAATTGTAACTGCAGTTTTACAGAACTCTAAATGCTTAATGAACACTCTTGCAGGTACCACCCGTATTCACACTCAGACCTGAGTTTAGTCATTTTCCAATACGAGATTGGGGACGGGTTCTATAAACAAACAAACAAACAAACATACCTAAACTCAATCACTTAATTCCCGCCATCTTACTGCCTTCGAAAAACGATTTCAGAGTACCTAGTGTTAACAAAATATAAGTATAAGTATAAGTAGATTTATTTAATCGGGTACCGGTAAATGGGTCGCCAGTGAAACCCTGATTTACCGCGACCATTTTCTTCCCCTGAAAGGTGTTTAACATATAATTATGTACTAACGCAAACAATCAAAACCCCAATTTACTGCAAACTCTGCGGTAAGGCAGGGTTTTACTGTATTAAGTTTTGCATATCCTTTTTCTTACTTTTAAACTCTCAATTTGTTCCAAGAGTTCCTTCTTGTCGTTTTGGAATCTAGATTCTAAAGTGTTGTTAGTTTCGTTGAGACTTGTCAGGGTCTTGGTTAGTGCTTTGACCTGTTGTCTCAAATTTGTCTCTTGACCACAACTCTCTGCTGTTCCTGTGTCTTCTTGACCTGCACATTTTTTGCTTTTCTCAATTTGATGACGTTCACATGGTTATACTTGTTATTCACCAAATCTAACATAGAATATGCAGGATGTAGTATCCCAACAATTTGAACAGCTAAAATTTGGGCGGCCCAAAAAGAGCACAAATATACAAGATATAATGTCAAATTGTCATCACAATACCAAATAGACAGAAGAGATACTAACGAAGTGCCCCCCCCCCCCCCCCCCCCCCCCCGTCTGAACTTACAGTTATTCTGAGGTTGAAAACTGAACACATTTACAGTTTCCTGCAAAGCTTTCTTTTCCTCCTGAAGGATCTTGTAGGCTTTCACAAGGTCGCTCAATTTTTTCTCATACTTAGCTAGTCTGTCTTGTTGAGACCTCACAGTTTCGTGCAATGATGACTTGGATCCGCCAAAAAAACCATCCATAGTTTATCTTTCCGATCGCTGACCTTATATTATGTCACGTTTGTAGCATTCCTATTGTTATTCGCTCGATATCAGTATTCAGTTGATTTAATCCAAAACATCAAATGCAATTTGAATTAACATTCATTTGCAACACTTAATTTCAAAATATCTAAATCGTCTCAATCAACAAATATACTGATTGAAACTTCGTCAGATTCAGCTGTTAGATAGTAGTAGCTGTTATTATAATGACCAATCAAGTCACTCGACTATGCAGTCATTCTCAAACAACATATCACATTTGACAAGAGGCAGCACAAGACAACATCTCATATTTGACAGAATCAGCACAACACAACATCTCATATTTGACATGAGGCAGCACAACACAACATCTCATATTTGACAAAAGGCAGCACAACACATCATCTCATGTTTGACATGAGGCAGCACAACACAACATCTCATATTTGACAGAAGCAGCACAACACAACATCTCATATTTGACAGAAACAGCACAACACAACATCTTATATTTGACAACGAGCATCACAACACAACATCTCATATTTGACAGAAACAGCACAACACAACATCTCATATTTGACATGAGGCAGCACAACACAACATCTCATATTTGACAACGAGCATCACAACACAACATCTCATATTTGACAGAAACAGCACAACACAACATCTTATATTTGACATGAGACAGCACAACACAACATCTTATATTTTACAGTCGAGGCAAATTGTCTACCAACAAATTGATGATGATAGATTATATATTTTGATGAGTTATTGTAAACAGTTAAAACCTTTGCAATCAAAGATTTTGCAAATAAATGTGTATACTGTATGTAGTAATGATAACTCCATTAATTAATCATATTTGATAAAGGAGCAGCATATCATTATTCTAATTTGGCACTGGAGATTGGTATTATTTTCTATGACTTTATCATGAAACGGTTCGTATGCCTGCATTGTGAAATCAACTATGAAATTCCCAAGCAAAGCGCTCATACCATGCCATATAAGCGTACTTAATAATCTTACTACAGGGTGGGCCAAAAGTCAGTAGGTACCCATACGTTGGGTCTTATACCTCCGCCTTGTTTTATATTTGAGAGTTGTTGCTTTGCAGATGGCATACTGTACCTACTTGTTTGAGGATTCTGTCACCAAAATTTGAAAATTCGAATATTTTAGACCTCGCCCATTCAATATTAAAACACCTATATTGTTCTCTCTGAACATACTCTACGCCTAATTTTTTCAGAGACGCCTGAATATATTTGAACATTGTTTTGTCATATTATGGCCCCCTCAAACTACAACTCATCTTGAACAATTTGTTGCTATCCAAAAGCGGGCCATTGAATGGATCAATGGTGAACCCTACAACAGCTATAATGACGATAAACTTGCTACAGAACAAAAGAAATTAAATATTCTCTCTGTTAAACAGAAGTTTATTTATAACGATCTTATGATCTTCTATAAAATAGTGAATAGCATAATCCAGTATCGCTCCCTACTTATATAGTCCTATGCCGTCCAGAGGGCATCCAATACACTTGGCACAGCACAATGCTCAAATAATTTACAGGTTGGATACTTCAACTCACATGAGTACTACTGTGCCCTGCTCAGATGCCTTCCGAAATAGCTTTTTTCATAGATCTATGCTGAAATGGAATAGTCTTCCAGTATGTATCCGGCAGTCAGAGCGGATTTCTACTTTTCAGGCCAAACTGATCAAGTAAAAAATTAAAAAAGGGGGGGGGGACCCCCAACCCATGTAGCTGAGAAACCTCACAGCAAGTAGACCAAAGTGGCTCTTGCTTGTGAAAGGTGTATCAACTAACCGCCGAGGCAGTGGGTTGGGAGTCCCTCCTGGGATCATTTCGTCCGTAAAATTTTACACAATATTAAAGCTACAATAAATTATTTATAAAATTTACATAAACAAACTTAAGAGACCTCAAAGCTCGTCTTCTGAGGAATGAGATTGAAGGATACCTCATCCAGTCCAAGGTGCTGGGCTTTTTGTCTTTCTCTGATTCCCCTGAGTGCTATGAGTGTGCTTTGTAGCAGATCAAACCTGAATCGTGTTCTGATGTGATTTTTGACCAGGCTCTTAGCTTCTTTATTGTGGTCAGCTATCCTTTCAGAAATACGATCTACAAACACAGTGCAGAGTGGGCCCATACCTCCGGATGTTGTAAAGACTAGAGGGACAAAGGACCCTTTCTCTGACAAAGGACCCTTTCTCAAACTTACCAAGTACCTCTTGGCTGCCGATACAGTCTGGCCAGATTAGCTTCCCAGAAATGTGTTTTTTGTTGGTTACAATTCCGTCCGTTGGTTACGATTTCCTGTCCGCTTGTCTCCCTTATTTTTCTTGTTTTCAGTTCGTTGTGACAGAATTTTAATGAGCAAAATACTTATAATTATTTATGATATGTTTGATTTCTTGTTATTGTTTGTCCTTCAAATTTGTTAGATCACGGTTCCAACGTTAATGTGGCTCTTGCTATGTGTTGGTTCATCCGAATTAAGTGTTATATAATATAATCAAGTTAATTTTTCTTTTCTAGTTAGTTGTCATCCGGCCACACAATAATATATAATTATAATATAAGCAAGTTATTGCAGCACTATTTTAAAATCAGTATATCAAAATATGCATATTGATGACATGTCATTGTAATTTTGCATGGCTAAAATGTAACGCTTGATTTATATATAATAATTATATAATAATTAATTGAATTTTCAAAAAATGGAGTTGTTTCCTTAAGTAGTAAAATATTCAAACAATATACACATAATATAGCAATGACCCTATATAAAATCAACCCTTTAAGAATTCAAAAAATTCCCTTAACAATCAAAAATTTTTTTTTACCCTTGGCCTTGTGGCTCCAAGTTAAGATCTAGACTGTTTATATCAACAATGTTTTTTCTCGCACCTCTGTCTCCACGGAGAGAAATCACTGTTGTTCTGAGGATTTCAAAGCGAAGGCGCTTTCTTATGTATCCTACAGCGTCTGAGTACCTCTGGCCAGTGTGGTACTCCATCTTACTGGCCAGCTTCTTGACCAGTCTCTCAGCTTCACCACCCATTCCACCAGAAGTCGAGAACACTAAAGGTGTGAAGCTTCCTTTCTCCACTTCAAGAACCCTTGCATTGTAACATCGCTTTTTCTCATTTTCATGGGACAGGTACATTGCTGGTATCGGTTTGCTTGCATTGGAGGGGGCTGGGGCATGAAATACCCTTACATCAAAAAATGCCCTCTCTGAAGCATTCCAAATCGATCTTGCAGAAATGTCCAGCCTGGCTTGGTCTCCTAGGACTGTTCCCTTTGGTAACTGTAGACCATCAACTGGAAGAAGAACTGGCTCAGTCTGCACATCCTTGCATTTCACAGTTCTCATTAGTTCTGCAAAGGTGTCTCTCAGCGAGTTGTGCCGCAGTGACACATATCCACCAAGTTTGCAGATGAGCGCATGGTTTGCTGAGTATTTCTGGCCACACGTACATGTTTTAGGGCAGTCCTTTAAGTTCAGGTTGTATCTGAGAGCTATTGCATCTGAGAACTGTTGTTTATTCATCAGATACCCATACTCTTTTTAAGGTAGTGCTTGTTTCCTTAAGTTGTTTCCTTAAGTGTAAAGGAAGCTATTTCATATTTTGATACATATTTAGTGATGGTTTTGTCATACGTTGTATGACCCGCCGCGCACGAAGTGCTCGGCTCCCCCTGTATCAGGACGATATCGTGGGGGTCGCAATACAACGTGATACAATGATGGTTAACGCCAATTAACATCAAGTGCAATTTAATTTGCCACTTTTTAAAATAAAATATCGAAAGAATTAAATTTGGATTTGGTAGCCCTACACCATATAATATTCATGTAATCAAATTGAGGAAGCATAAGAGCGTTTACAGACATTTTACTATATTTTCGTGGAAGTAGATTTCATTATGTTTCACCCTCAAATCCATACCACACTGTTATTATGTATTGTACTTTGCTAATTATATTACCGAGGTATTATTAGTTATATTATTATTAGTATATTAGTTATTCATTATAAATTAAGCCACGAGATCATTTACTGTAATGTAATATTTAAATATTTATAATCTACATTGATTCACGATGTTAATCTTTCGCAGCTCGGTGAGGCCCAACCATTCCGCCGTCATGTCATTCTGTCTAATAGTAGAGGCTCTTACGGGCAAAAAGACGTGTTTTCTGCTACGAGTTTAGAGACCTAACCGCTAATTGGACACAATAGTATGATGTCTAAGGATCGATAATATGTTAAGAAGTATAAAATTGGCCTTATTAGTCACGTGCTATACCAATGCGCGTTTTAAACTTTTACAGTCTATTACTCTGAGGCAAATAAAGTAATTATATTCATATTTTGTCAGCAATAAAATCAGATTATTTTCTATTTGGTGTGAAAATATGAGCTAGAACGGACATAATCTCGCTGAGTTATAGCTGTTTGAAATTTATGATGAACGCGCAGGAGCCAATTGATAACAACTAAATGCTTTTGCGCGTAGTGCGCGTCGAAAATTTGGCAAAAACGCTTGCGGAGTGACAATATTCAAACTTCGATAAACTATATGAAGTGGGTACTTCTCGGAAAGGAAAAATTTAGGCAAACACGATGTGACTATTTTTGGGTTGATTTAATACAACTGCAAAAAATTATTCAAACTTCAAGCAAAAAAGTCAAAATTTTTACCACTTTTTTGGATTTTACCCCCAAAAAAATAAAGGGATTTTTCAAATTTTTATATCATCTTGTGCGACTGTGTTTTAGCTATCTCCATGCAAGTTTTGCCGACATGCCAACAAAATTAACTTGTTCATAATATCAAAAAACATGGTTTTTTGGCCTATTTTTGCCCAAAAATCGGTTTTTTTCGATTTTACCCCCAAAAAATCAGTCCAATCATCTTTAAACCACTTTTAATCGAGTCTACGGTCAAAAATACGTTTAGTAAGGTGTAGCTGGGGTCCCTAGCGTATCGAG